ATTAGGCTGGTCAGAGTGGAGTTGGAAAGGAGAACTGTTGAACAAGTGGAAGGGGCTAGTCAACGATCTGAAGGCCAACCAGCCAATCATGGTCCCTAGGTGCTATTTCTGTAGCGTAAAGTGAGTGGTGGTAGTGAACTTACTGACCCCTTCAACATTCATGATTTGAAACTCCGTATCTGTCAAAAAGAGAAGAGAGAGAGAGAGAGAGAGAGAGAGAGACTTAAAATGCTACAGTTCAAAGTTTGCAGTTATGTCTTATCGAATTTCAGCATGTCTGCACTGAAATATGTACAACTAAACATGTAGCGTGCATACTTTGCAGTTACATAATCATTGCAGCTGTATGTCGAAATTCATGAGAAACTATGCTGTAGAGTAGAACCCCTCTAATCCAGACACCATTGGGACAGAATAGAAGTGTCCATACCAGTGAGGTGTCCTATTTCAGGGGTTGAATTGCACGCGTCAGGGAAAGAAACGGTGTCCTAATTAGAGGGGTGTCCTCATTTCAGAGGGTGTCTTTAGAGAGGGATTGCTCCACTGTACATACAAACTGACCTTCTGAGCAGTTGAAGTCATTGACTCTGATATTGTCGAGAGGAATGGCTGGCTCCAGACACATCAGAACAGTGCCCCTCCTTCGCTGGGTTATGAGGAGGACGTCTGTGAACATGATGATCCATACCTGGGGAATGGGGGTGTGGCAGTATGGAGACATGGCGGTATGTAGTATGGGTGTATGGAAACATGACGGTATGTAGTATAGCGGAACGGGTGTATGGAAACATGTAGTACTATAGCAGAACGTGTGTCACGGTATGTAGTACAGTGCATTAAAACAAGCAGCATAGTCATGAAGCCAGAGATTGTAACAAGTAGCATTGTGAATTGTGCATGACGTGAATCATAGTGAACGATGTATGAAGCCAGATATTGTAGTATGGGTGTATGAAACCTGGGGGTATGGGTGTATGCCAGTATGAACCATTGTAGTATGGGTGTATGCCGGTATGAAACATGGGGGTATCGGTGAATGTGGATGTGTAGAGCTTGCCTTTGTTTTTTCCCTTCTTCTCGATGAGTTGGGCCTCTCCCTCCCTCACCAGAAGCCGGCCGGGGACAACCACAGGGATCCTGGGGATCTTGGGAGCAAACGATATGCACACTTCCATTCTCTGCATTACCTTCAGCCCCTCCTCCCATCTGACGGAGAGGAAGATTCATTACTTATTGGATTTATTATGGTGCTTGGGCAAACAGTTGAACACTGGATTTTATCAATCAAGACACCTCTCTAATCAGAACACCTCATTGATAAGGACACCTCGCTAATCAGGACACCTCTCTAATCAGGACACCTCACTGATAAGGACACCTCGCTAATCAGGACACCTCTCTAATCAGGACACCTCACTAATAAGGACACCTCTCTAATCAGGACATCTCTCTAATCAGGACACCTCTCTAATCAGGACACTAGATTAAAGTCACCTTTTCACTGCTTCCTTATCGGGGCAGATCCTGGCCAGCTGGCGAAGAGTGGTGCTGAGGTAGGCCTGGTCAATGTTGGATGGAGAGGTGTACTGGTAGGCTCCCAGGAGGCACTTGAACAATCTCATGCAATACTGCAACCATGCAGAGAGAGAGATCGAAGAGGAAGGGAGGGAGAAGATTATAATTATTATGTGGCATAATTGGACACGTATGGAGAGAGGGAGGAAAGATGGCGCATGAATTGAAGGAACTACTCTACGATGGGACAGGAGGAAGGTACACTACAGGTGTCCTTATCTCGGGGGTTGAAGTACAGTTCTTGGGGGAAGGAAAAGGTGTTCGTGGGTGTTGTTTTAGAGGGCTTCCATTGTAATTAGAGACTCTTGAATAGTTTTATTGACTCACGTCTTTCCCAGATTCAATGAAGGAGTATATCGACTTGTTTTTCCCCTCGATCACACTCTTCTACAAACAAACAAAAAACCGAGAGAGAAGCGGAGTGTTGGGCTAACAAAAAAACGATAAACTTGGGGCTAACCTGGACGAGGTGGGCAAACGCCTCATTAGTGAAGGCAATGGAGAGCTCTTGTTTAGCTGCGTGTAGATTCTCAAGGTACCCTTTCAACAAAGCCGCTAGCACTGCTAGCTACAATACAATGTGCAACAACGGTAATAATGGAGTTGCAACAAGAAGTCGTGTTATACTTCTCGATGGTAGATGTCCGCTATGTGAGTGATGTAATGGGGCGTGGCTTCTTTTGTGGCTCCACCCACACACGTCAGTTGACGCTCCTTCAGTTGCAGGTCCACTCGTGTCGAAACTTCATAGAGCTATATATTTGGAAACATGATTAAGACGTGTTTCACGTGTTCTATTAATAGTAACCTCTCTGAGGTTGTAGAAGAGTGTGGAGTGAATGGTGCTGGACACCACAGACTCCAGGGGGTCCACGTATGTCTCTATTCCATTCCGCAGCAGAGAATGGAACGTGGACTCGGCCTCAACCAAACTCTGCAGCACCTAGGGCCGCGAGATTTTGGTCAGTCACAAAGTTTACAATGAATGCCACCATACCATATGGTAGCCTTTTTACCTTCTGCCTCTTTTGTTCAGTAGAAGATAAACTCTGTGAAAGGATGAAACGGCAATATCTGAAATTAGCTACTGCAAAAAACCCTTACTGGTTGGCAGAGGGGTGGTAAAGTGAAGGGACAGACAAATGAAGGGGGAATATAAAAAGGACTCAAAAAAGAGACATTTGTTTCACACCCACTTACATACATACCTCCCACTCAACTGGACTGTCGTCAGCTGGTGATTGAGAAAAGCCGTTTGCCGGAGCTCCCATTCCAATTCTGGAGTATGGTATCTGCCCCCGCGGCACGGTCTCATTCCCATACTCGCCTCCGTAGCCGTGACTACGGGTGGGTCTGAGTGGTTTGTGGCCAATCAGCTCCACGTTGCCGTGGTGACGGTTAGATACACCTAGACGGTATGAGGGGTGAGTAGGTGAGAAGGAGAAAGAGGAGGGGCCTCGGAACTGTCTGTGTTCCCCCGTCATGACGTCCACCCTCTTCCTCTGGTGGTGGGTGTGGTGAGGGGCGTGGTCTACCTGCGAGTAGGCATGGGTGGTTTTAACCTCCGGGTCCCCAGGCTGCGAGAATAAATAGGCGGAGGAAGAGGGAGGATAGGGAGGGTGGTGGCGGTGAGGATGGGGATTCTGGTGAGCTCTGTGATAGGTCGGTTGAGTCAACTCCTCCCCAGGTCCCCTAACACTCCTCCCCCTCTCCCCTCCTCCCCTCCTCCCTCCTCCCTGGGTGGGTGGGAGGGGAGGTCTGGCCCATCTCCCCTCCCTTTCCTCCTCTCCCTCTCCCTCCTCTTCATCCTCCTCTCTCTCCTCATACACACTGCGCATGTGGGTGCAAGGTAAGAAGGAGTGGGAGGATTGACGGATGAACGCCGCCTCGTGAACAAACTGGTCCTGCAATCAATGACATCACACTCACACATTGTTACATAACACTGTTATAGATTACTAGATACTCGTTCTTACATACCTAGGTTCTAGAACCCCATACCTCATACTGTGGATCCTCATGAAACCATACACCACATGATAGATCTTCATACGGTCAACCCCCATACAACATATCTTCATACACCCATACCCCATACCACAGATCTTCATACACCCATGCCCCATACCACAGATCTTCATGTCCCATACCACAGATTTTCATGCACTCACACCCATACCACAGATGTTCATACACTCATACCCCATATCTTCATGCACCCATACCCCATATCCCATACCTGAGGGTCTAGGTCAAACTCTGGAGGCTGTGAGAGGATACTGCTACAGCCGCCATAACTCTGGGGGCCGGTGGCAAGTCTTGCTCGAGGGAGGTGGGATAGAGAAGAGTACTGATGAGAGGAGCGCACTGCCATTAGGGGGAGCTGGTCCTGCGATAGAGCTCCATACGAGAAGGAGGAGGAGAGAGGGGCGTGGTGCCGGGTCGAGGGGGCGTGACTGTGGGTGTGGTGGGAGGGGGAGGGAAATCGGTGAGAACGGGGGAGAGTGCTGGTTCCCCTGAGGGGGGAAGATGCCTGGGCGGCAGCGACCGAGGAGGGTGGCAAATCCGGTGGGACGAGAGGGGCATCCCTCACTAGGATCAGCTGCAGATTATCTCCACTTTCCCTGCATAACACACACACACACCTCCACAGTTTATATGTACAATTTCACAGGTGAGTTTCTATATTTTTGCATGTGACAAAAGTGTCTCAGCCGTGTGTTGTGTTTATTGTAAGTGGGTTTGACTTACGGTTGGTGGTTTACGGGGGAGGGAAGCTTACGAAATGATTGATCAATTGGGTGTGGTTTAGTTAACGAGGTATAGCGGAACTCACGAAATGATTGGGTGTGGTTTAGTTAACGAGGTATAGCGGAACTCACGAAATGAGGCTCTGGACCAGTTCGGCGTTGGCTCTTCTGACGTCCGTATCGTTGACCTTGGCAACGGTGTCTCCTACCTGGACCTCCGCCTCGTGAGCCGACTCACCTGACAAAACAGCACAAAAACAAATTCCATTATATCTGTCGTTGGTAATGTCACAATGCCATGTGATGTATTTATACAGCGTGTTGGGTTTGCCCTGTGTTGTAAAAAATCCTGTGAATTTAAAAAAAGGCACATCCTACTAAGTACTACCGTACTTAGTGATAGTGGACCTTGAGTCCTGTCTACCAAAACATGGATCTTCTGTTTCTGTCCCTATACTGACACTTCGTGCGTGACTCATACCCGTGTTCCACGTTGGACACATAGACTGGGTTGTGACCGCGGACTTGGAACCCGAATCCTTGTCTGCCTCGGGACACAGTCACCTGCGGACATGGCAGAAAATTCCCTCTGATTCCACTGTGTGACGTAGTGAATGCAACGCTAAATCATTTTGGTGCATCAAGTGTGTAGATGCAGTCAAACCAATGCAAATCATAGGAAAATTTTGATATTACGACTTCAAATTTCAGGGAACCTCCCTATAATGTATATACACAGCAGTCAAAACCTCCATTTTTTTTACACCTATATATAGAGCAATTGTCTACTTACTTCATCATTTTAACTACGTGATACGGTAACATGAACTAGTGTACTATTGCCATAGTTCGTTCACCCGAATCGTTGGAAGTCTCTGTGCAATTTTGCTTGATTGCCAAAAAACGAATCGTATTTCGCGATGAGCAGAGCTCAGCGGGCAGGGTTCGGCGATATTTTATGAAGCAGCTGAGACAGTGATTAAATCCTGTGGGATTTTCGTCTTTCACCAGAAGAGAAGAGATCCAATGTCTCCGACTACAAATTACCAATAACCTTTATTGAACAACACATGGCCTTTTTAGGAGATTGTTAGGTGTACTGTTACAATGTCCCAAGGTGTAACCTACGTCAATCGAACACGGGTCATTACGTATGTATTGCGTGTATGTAGAGAAATACTACCCCCAGGGGCTGTAGACCTGTTGTGTATATACACTGTACAATGTAGTGTTTGCATTTCCTTTACGTCATAATCTTGTTTGATAAGTGTCTGTGGTCTGTGATCCATTTGTACTACTTATTAGGACAAGACACACGAGTTTTTTATTTTCCTTGATTGACCTTGAGATGTGAGTCTACTGTACCTCCTTTTATGGATGTCACAAGTTGTGGTGAAAATCCTACTGCTTAATGACTAAATCGAAAAAACCAGAAACTCCAAGCTCCATTCTTACCATTTCCAAATTTAGCCCTTATGTATGTACCAACACAGCGCTTTCATTGGGGTACATACCTAGTACTTAGCTATGTGTGTTACCACTGGCCATAATGCGTTGCTAGTCTTAAACCCCACCAAATGTACTAGTATACGAGAGTGTGTGTGTGTGTGTGTGTGTGATTGCAGGAATAAGGGGGGGAGAGGGTAGTAATAACAGACCAGATGTTTCCTCATCATCTACCCCCTCCTGCTTTCTTATCTACTAACCTTGTTTTAGTCCCTATCTGCTTTTCTGTTCAAATACCAGCACACTCCCTCACACGGCTTGGTGTGACAGACAGACAGACAGAATTCTGCTGACTGGCTGGCTAGTTTCGCCAATACAGGCAGTGTGTGAGGAGAGGGAGAGAGAGACAGAGCAGGGCATATGGCTCAGTTTTGACAATTCCCAGGAATTCAGGTAGGGACATTGCGGAACAAGGAAACGAACTCTCACGCCAGATGGCACAATCGAAACAATATGTCAACTGGTAAAATTATATTTTAAGCCCGTGTTATCTCCCTCCCAAGAAGGTGAAAAATATCTATTCGCTCACGGAGGGAAGCACAATCCCTCTAAAGAGGTCTCGACAATTTCTCCACTGCCCCTTACTCGTAGCCATGTAATTGAAACGCAACAGCTCAATCATAAACTAACGATATTCACGGTCAGGGGTTCCCTCCAAGGAAATGACAAGCGGGGCAGAGTGTCAGGGAAAATGGAACCTGAGACGGCCGCAAGACGCAAGTGAAAAAGATGAGGAAACGAGAGAAGCAATGATTCAATTATTCCCGACAGTCTGCGGTCGCGACTGCGGTTCTATTCCGACTCGGTTGCTAGTAAACATTAGTACTAGAGCAGGAAATAGCCGAAATAATGAGCATGCAATCGGTGAATTCCAGTGGCGGAAAACTGGCGCGTATTTCCTGTGTGGTTTCCCTGGTCAACCAGGGGGAATGTGTGGACTTGAGGCTCGACGATGCCGCACCAGTGAGGGGGACCTCCGATCCTGGTCAACCAGGGGGAACGTGTGGACTTGAGGCTCAACGATGCCGCCCCAGTGAGGGGGACCTCCGATCCTGGTCAACCAGGGGGAACGTGTGGACTTGAGGCTCAACGATGCCGCCCCAGTGAGGGGGACCTCCGATCCTGGTCAACCAGGGGGAACGTGTGGACTTGAGGCTCGACGATGCCGCACCAGTGAGGGGGACCTCCGATCCTGGTCAACCAGGGGGAACGTGTGGACTTGAGGCTCGACGATGCCGCCCCAGTGAGGGGGACCTCCGATCCTGGTCAACCAGGGGGAACGTGTGGACTTGAGGCTCAACGATGCCGCCCCAGTGAGGGGGACTTGGACATACCGCAGAACCTCCGATAAAGGACACTCCATCAATAAAAGAAACAAAACTCTCGATAAAGGACACACTTTGAGGTCCGAAATGCTCACTTTTCTATTGCTCATTTTAACCTCAGAGGAGAGGAATACTTCCCTATAAGGCCCGAAATGCCTGGTCCCAATGTGTCCTATGTTTGGAGTGTGTGCTAGTATCTCGATATTAGGAAACGGAGAGAGAGAGAGAGAGGGAGGAAAGGAGGAGCAACGAGGGAGAAGGGAGGGAGAGAGGGGTGAGAACTGTGACTCACAGCGATCTCACAGGTCCCAGGTCTGACAGGGTGTCTAACTCCAGACGCAGACTGAGAGATGGAGACCGGCACCGGCTGGTTCTCTGTCAACCCCTTCTCCTCGTCCAGCAGCTGGTACCAGCCATTCAGACCCTGCTCCGGCCCGACGAGAGACGCCACGGTGAACGACATACAGCCAATCATGACATTCCTGGATCCCAGAGAGAGCAAAGGGTTAACACCAGGGGTTCATTTATGGGGGTTGGGGGGGCACTCGCCCCCTTAATCAACTATGACCGCTTAGAGTTGAAGGTAACCTTTTAATACACACAGACACAGGTTTTACCTTCCTTATTTAAATACACCATTCCCCCTTCTAGATCAAATTGAAAATGAACGCCCTCTGTGCAGCTATTAGAGAGGCCCATTCATTGCTTCCTGATTTTTGGAACAACACAACCTTTTGTGTAGAGACAATGTCAATTACTTGGAAATGGTGTCAGTTACATTTCCCATTTGCCAAGATTGCAGGCATTTCCAGGTGCGGCATACAACTGAAAATTGAGTTAAAGCAGTAACCACAAAATTGTCCCGTCTACTGCATTTGGACAGAGGTTGTTGTACCAGTCCTACGTTCTTAGCTACAACTACTTGGAAGGTTGACTACTCTCGGAAAATGACAAAGACACTGTGATTGTGTGTGTACATGTGGGTGGCGGGCCTGACTAGCTGGTCTGGACCGAAGCAGTGTTGTGGTCTGCTCTAGCTCCTGCCTCTATAATGTCGTCAACCCTCCAGCCTGTATACTATGCCATATACCTCGACGTAAGGTGTGGCGTCCAGGCAGATATAAACAACCTCTTCTCGGTATCAGCTTCTGTCAGCAAACTGGAGGGAAATATTAACAATGTTCAAATCAATTTTGCTGCGGTGTGACGGAGGAAGTGGGTTTCTGGTTAGGGAATTGAACGAGTGGGCGCTGCTGGCTCGGGACTCACAAAGTGAATTTCTGATTGAAGACGGGATCCTGGGCCCTGACCGTCTTGGTTTTTTTCTTTGTCGATTTGTTGGCGTCAGGGAGGAGGTAGAGCTTTCCAGGGGAGAGGAAGGAGGGAGAAAGGAGATATGGGTTGAGAGGCAGATGATACTTAGTGAATTACAGGAAAAGCAAATGTGTAACGCAACAGGTCTATAGGAAAAATTACTTGTATAATATACAGAATTTGCAGTGGCACCAGACCTTTTAATTAACAGACTCCCAATCAAAAACTCAGTGTAACGCCTTACCAAAACACTAGTGCCATTGGCTAAAATATTGAACTCGGTACGCAACTCCACAATGCTTTTTACTTCGTGGAATGTGATTAATACTCACCTTGATGTAGACGTCGAGGGCGGCCGTGTCTCTCCTCATCAGTCCTCTAGCCTCGTATACTGCAGGATTGGTGTACATAGAACTTGTGACAACAAAGAGCGTGCTGCTCGTGTCTGTGTGAGAATGCTTTTCGTAGTGTCGCTAATACTTTGGTTGGTCAAGATAATTAGGCAGACTCGTATGGGTGTGGTGCAACTGCAGTTTTAATGGGAATGCAGCAGTATAATAAGGGCTAAATTTAGAAATGTTACCACAACGGAACTTAATTGCATTCTTTCACTGTGCCCCTATTGTTTTGTTCTATTTTATAACTAAATTTAACCCTTATATACTGCCCTTTAATGATCACACGAACTGCTCGTGAGAGATCTATACACAAGTTCATTACAACAAGCCCAGCATTTCAATTCAGCAGGAAGAGTGAAGATGGATATATAGAGTGGCTATAATGCGGAAAACCACGGGGACAGGTAAAGTAGGAAGTGTTGAAATTACTAACACAACTATTCTTGATATATATATATATAGCAAAAGTGAAATACAATCAACCATTACATCATTAGAGCCTTAAAGTCAACTTGACTTCATCCATATATAGGGAGGAAAAATCGTTTTCATTATTTCAGCCCTGCCACACCTTCGCGTGAGTAACATTTTATTGCCTTTCCAAATGTATGGTGTAAAAAGTTTCATCTAATAATTATTGTACAGAGGGTTCTAAGGGAGCCCCCCAGATAGGATGTCCTGCTAATAAAATAGTTGAAACATACACCAGGCTAGGATTTCACAATTTTTTAAATCAAAACTCCATTTATGGGCTTCGAAGCTGCTTGATTAGTTAAAATACAACCTGTAGTGGACTTGACGTGTGTGTGTGTGTGTGTGTGTGTGTGTGTGTGCACATGGGAGGCTGGGTTGCCGGGATACGGGAGAGAAGGGGTAAGGAATTCATGGAAAGGTCTAATGCAATTCGGTGGAGAAGGCAGGATGGTGAGGATATTCAGGGTTGTGAATCTTTTTCTCGCGCAGGCACACGCAGTCTACACGCGCGTGGGGGGAGGGATGATTAGTTTTCAACGCTGCCGTGAGCCTTCGTGTGGCAAATGAGCCAGAGAGCCTAAAATAAGCTGTTGCAAGGGGTCCCAGCTGGGATGGATAACGGTAGGGAGGGGTGTAATGATCACGGACATATATGCCGTACCAACCGCAATCAGATTCCCTTCTGCCAAATGGTCCCTATTGTGCCCATGCTTCAGGGGCCCCTGACTAATTACTAATTCTAAAGAGTCTAATGGGTGGAGGTATGCGGTCAATGAGGTAGAAAACAGCCAGTTCTGCCCCATAGAATAAAATGTATGCAGACTATGAGTGTGTGAAAACGTATGCAGGCTGATACCAGACATGCACACACATCAGGAAAATCTGGACTGAAATCTGCAGGAGTTGTGTGATAGTGCAGGCCCACGTTTGTTTGTTCAGCTGGAGGTCAGAGTCTAGTAGCTATACTTACTGTTCACGACCAGGGCGCTCGACTCCTCGCACGCCGAGAGCCTGAGGTGACCTGCAGTGGGACGGTACGAGACGTTTGTGACGGAAACAAGTGCGCAGCCTAGGGTCGGCTTTCACGAAGCAATACAATTAGTTCTTCCATCGCTGCCCACACACACACATGCACATGGGGGGTCTGCGCAGCTGCATGCCCTGAGGCAGATTCGCAGGGCTCCAGGGCGCCGGCGGTTCTTACCTGGTTGAGATCGCGCGTGCTTGCGCATCTTTCTGCTGGAGCTGTAGATCGACATGTTGACCGTTTCACCGGTGAGTGCTTGGCAACGCGGCCAGAAGGAACGCGGGAAGTCTCCTGCTCATGCACAGCTAGCTAGCTGCATGCAGCTTTGCTGCTGGCGGCTAGCTTACCACCAAATAGTGGGTGGGGCATGTGCAGCGCGGCGGCGCGCGCATATATGACGTACACGTACGTGTATATATAAACGCACGCGCGCGGCGGCGGCGGCGGCGGCTTCAAGCGCACGTGCGCGCGCAAATTGTTTCCCAAAACAAAACATTTGCGGTTTTGTATGTTGTGCGATACACATTGTTTCGTGTAACACAGCGGAAGAGGTGCAGCTAATCAGCTGCTGCGGCGCAGATAAATAGGGGCGGCTTTTTTCATGAGGGAAGACTTCCAGAGAGAGAGTGCAGACTGCGACTGAAGGACAGCTGCATATGCTGCGACAAGCTAGCCGCCAGACTAGTGTTTGCAAAAGATCTTCGCGATCCCTCCTCTAAGAACCTCTGGGTCGGGCCGGTCACAGTCAGCTTCTCCCCCGTCCGTCCGTGCAGATTCGGCGGCCGACGGAAGATGTCAGAGGTGGTAAAGAGAGGCTATCTCTCCGTGAGACGGAGGAACCTACTCGCCTCGGTGAGTCCCCAGCTAGAGTCGTTGCAGCCTTGCTGGAGCTGTGCCTCCGTTGGCGGATCCGTACTGTATATACTGCTGCTGCATGTTGTTTCGCATGTGTCTTGTGTTTTCCTAGCTCTCTAAAGTAAACTGTGGCGTTCACTGAGAGTTGAATATACCTAGTACCTTGGCATCACTGATTGATTTGCCGATGTAGCAGAGTTGTGTGTGTGACTGTGTGACTGTGTGAAAGGATACCAGTTGTGAATGTGGTGTTGTTAATCTCAATTACTTTGTGATTTCATAGAATTTCACTGCCTGTGTTCTCAAATCTGGTGTAAGGTTTTAGAAATCTTGCAATCGCCAACAGCTATGTATGCTGCACGTATGCAGTAGAATTTGGGTGGGCTTCATATATAGCAACGTGTTAGTCAGATTGGAAGGCCGAGTGCAGCCAGACATATACAGTGTTTGACTCTGGAGGGTCACGGAAATCAGAACTCCAGTAATTGTTGTGGACCTACTGTTAAATGTGGTGTGACTAGGTTGTGTGTGCTGCTGTGTTGCGTCACGAGTACACCGCTGTCTTGCCTCGCCTGTGGAAACTGCGTTCACAGTCTCACGCTCAACTCATCGTCCGTAATACCGCACGCACTGTCTTTACTCACTCGTTCATTTCACTATATATACCCCTGCTAGGAGTAGGTCAGGGTTGATATCATGCATACCTTGTGGCTGTGGGTAAAGACATGCTGCCCTATGCACAGATTTCAGGCATCAGACCATGCTGCACCTCCACACACACAGTATTTGTATAGCTGTTCCTAATAAGCCCCTCTCCCTGACCCACACTTGCAGTGTGCGTACACATTAGGAGTACACACCCTTGATGCAGCATCAGCTGCGTATGTAGCTAGCTACCTGTGGTGGTGTTCTCTGTTTGTGTCTGTAAAGGTTGTTTGTGACCTCACGCACCTCACAGAGCGCCTTGTCTCTGCTGCAGGACTGAGCTGGTTGACTAGCAACACTCGTAGCAACTGACGCTGGCTCAGCTTGCTTTTGCCGTTGCTTGTTCCGTGACAAGGTAACAGTACAACTTTGGTTCCGGCTGGCTCTTTGCAGCCTCTCTACTCTCTCTGTGTCTGTGATCCGCGAGAGTGTGTCGAGTCTCTAGTTTTGTAGATGACAGGGGCCGGGATCATATTCTCCCAGTTTTCTGAGGGATGCGTATATTATCCTGTCGTGAACTGGTCTTGCAAATTAAACACCGCAGGCAGGAGGGGTTGGCTCCGTAATTAACAATAATTTTTACAAATTCAGTACAGCTGCTGTTGCTGTAAAGGCAGCTGATTTTTTCCAGTTTGTAATCCGATAGCTATTCATTACCCCCCATGTTAACAAGCGGTGACCACCTCACTGACTGTTCCCATCATCAAGGCCCTATATAGTCCCGTAGAATCAGAGTCGCTGGAGGGTGACAGGCTATTTGGTCGACTGCTGTGACTTGTTGCGGTCATGGTATGTACACGGTACGTGTTGGTGACGGTGCGACAAAACAGTCGAATGGTGATGTGGGATTGATTCGATTGATTCGATTGATTCCTAGAAAAGCGTGTCTAGTTTGCACAGGCTGGTTTCGATGCTATATAGCCGAGCCAAGTGTAGACTTATGGTGGGTCTATCGAAGGTCATTAACTAGTTATTGCAGCTGGTCCCGTACTTTTGTCTGGGGTGACGACTCAGATGATCTAAACGTCTTGCCTTTAGAGAAAGAATGTAGTTCACGGAATACAGACTAGTGTTTCTGAGAATTATATACTTAGAGCTCCGAGGAATTCCAGGAATGCGAGTAGCCCCTGGCTGGGAAGGTCCTTATTAGGACGCTAATTACTCTCCTACTGGTGTGTTGCTAGGTAACGGGTGTGTGCATATCAGTGTATCTTGCAGGGGGTGCACTGAGAAAAGCGTGGTCTTTCATTTTTATGTTGGTTTGCATTTTTCCCACCGTGTGTGCACACCACTCCCTCTCTCTGTTCTTTGTGCATTCAGCTTGGCTTTGGTCTTGCAGAAGGAGCTAGCCTTTTGTGTGGGTGTAATATTAGCTAAGGAAGTGATCAACATTGAGGTCACACGCAGGGTTAAAAGTGAGTGTGTTATCAGAGAACTAGACAACAACACACTTTACATGATTACGTATACAGGACGTACAAGATTACATTTTTCACGTCATAGGTCTACAGACGTTTTGTCTCCACACCTCTCAATAGTGGAACACTTCTCTAGCTACAATGGTACCTCACCCTCTGAATAAAGGACACCTCTCTATAAAGGGTCTTGATGTTTGCATTATTAACCTCTGAACAAAGGACACCCTGTACATTGACTTAATCCAAAAGCTCCTCCTATTAGTACCCACACCAGCTATTATGTTGGGTATGTTCTGCGATCTGTGCATGCATGTTGTAGCAGTGACATCATAATGTTGACTCAGGCTGCCTTTGATGCTGGCAATAATTGTTGGCCAGTTTCAGCCGGTGGCTGTGGTAACTAACCGTGGTAGTAGTAGACGACGTGGTATTCGGAGTACAGGTAGACGGAAGTTGCAGGCCCAGGCCAGTGGAAATTAGTCTGATTAGTGAGCAGTTTGTGTATACTTCACTTCCCCATATCAATTTCTTGGTTGATTTAAATTTCTAAGGAATTCGCCACTTTAATTAATCCTCGTAGATTTCAAGAAGATTTTTTTTATTACTATGGCAGATGGTGTCTGAGAACCAATCATAGAGGGTGTGTTCAGCATCAATATCAATCATCCTCATAGTTCATAGTTCAACAATTTTTATTGGTTGAGTGTGTTTCTGGCGAAGGCATGCAAGCTGCAGGATTTGAAGTAGAACAGTAGCAACTGCCCATTTCGTCCTCTGGGTGCAAAGTCATTCATCAAGGCAATTGAATATGCTTTTAAACGACGTGTGCGCAACTGTCTGTAATATTGAATAGGTCCATGTTAGAGCCCATGCAGTATCTGTTGTTTTGGGTTGGCAACGAGCGAGCGAGAGAGAGAGAGAGTAACTGAGTGGGTGTGTGGAGACAGCAATTCATTCTGGGAAAATCCTCCGTTCAGTGGGAGGTGTTTTGGTGATAGTTTCTGATGACTTGTTTTTTTGGTCTACACATCCTCTCGTTATTCATACACTGCCATGACATCATAGGACATCATAGTATATACTAAACAACACTCAGCAGTGCTATATTATACATGTGCAACAGTGGACAGATTGGACACTGGCCAGTTGTGATAGGCTCACTGATTAATACTGCATCCGCCTGCAACTGCCACACACATATATATAACACACCCACTCACTATGGACGACTGCAGATTCACACACACACACACACACACACCACACACACACAGCTTATAATGTCGCCCACTGGTGACTGTCAACACTCGAAAACCAACTAAGTGTCTCTCTGTCTCTTTGTGTCACTGGAATCTTATTGCAACAGCACACTCTCTCCTTACAAGATGGCAAATATAGAAGGCTCGATAATGTGATAATCACAGGCTAATTGGTAGAAGAATGCACAGATGGTATATAGCGTCTTTAGAGCTAGAGGCAGTAGTTTTGAGAATTTCCAGGGTTGATGTCTTTTCACTCGGTCCTCACTCATTCCGAAAGTAGGATTGCTTGTGGGGGATTTGTGTCTGTTTCTGAGACTGCTACATTACAGACAGTTTGTCTGCTACTATAACAACAAAGACCCTGGGCAAATTGAGGGATTACATCATTGACCATGAATGTGTCTCATTATTTCCCCCTCCTTCCTCTGTTCTGCCTTCCTCTCTTCCCTCTCTCCCTCATCACACACACACACACACACACCCCTCTCCTCCATTTCTCCCAGTCATCGTACAAGCAGAGGTTCGTGGTGCTAAAGATGGGAGGCGAGGGCCGAGGTAAACTAGTGGAGGTATGGGACTCGCAAACCTCCGAAAAGGACCCGTATCGACTGGTGTTGGGCAAACTCCTGGACGGTCCAGACCAAGCCTTCGAACAGCGGGAAGAGATACGCTTTTCAGGTAAATGTCACTGCAGTGCACGACCATGACTTGATAGTCTAAAGTACAGTTTGGGCAGAGTTCAAGTGTACACCCCATGCATTATCATCTCTTAACTGTTAACCAGATTTGTGTAAATAATGTGTGTGAGCGTGCAGCACAGTTTGTGATATCAGAGCTATGTATATAACATCGGACCAGAAAACATCGTTGTTTCTGCAGAAATATTTACGCCATTGCTCTACAAGATATCGGCAACACTAAAACACTGTTTTTTTAGCTCCCAGAACGAACTGTACCATCAAGTCTGTCTGTGTGTGACACGTTTTCAGCGTTCAGCAAACTTGTCCAGAGTATGGCGCTATCCGTGCCTTTGATACGCCCGCACATTTAGCTGCAAGTACCAATATTGCCTTTGGGGGCCCTCAACAGCACACAACGGGTCTCACACCATAACTGTATGGTTTGTATTAAGTGTTATGCAAAGAGCCCTTGCTAACATAGCCCATGTACTAGTACACCAGCTACACTTTTCCCACACGTTTCGGATCGCTAGCACTGATATATTATCACGGAACACTCGCCTCGTGAATAGCGTTAGAATGCCTGCCTTGTGTGTGACTCGGTTGCTGGGCAGAATGTTCCCGTTTGCCGTATTCATGGTAACTGTGCAGCGAGCGTGTCTAATTAAACAGTTTCACACAATGTTGGTATAATTATTATACTCTCTCTGAGTAAGTATAGGGAGGGAGGTGAGGAGAAGGAAGAGAGGAGGAGGAGGGAAGGAAGGAGAGAGGGGGGAGAGAGAAAGGGGGGGAGAAATGATAGGGGGAGAGAGAGTAGGGGAAATTAAAATTTAGGTAGCATCCCTACAAAACTACCCCTTTTCTCACTGGCTACAACAACTAGCTACAACAACAGCCAATTACAAAGCATTCAGTTTGTGTTTCATTCCAGACATTCTGCTGTACTCTATTCTAGGAATAACCTTCAATGAAACCGCTTTCCCCCTTGTTCTGTGTTCCTTAATTACTCCTCATGCATACACCTGCACTGTGTTCTGGTTCCCCTGTGTTCTGGTTCCCCTGTATATAGCTATAGTGGGCTGGTGCGTGTGTGTGTGTGTGTGCGCGTGCCACACGTGCATATGGCGTAAGAGCAGCAGTAGTGTTGGCTGAAGTCCAGGCTAGGGGCAGAGCTCTTCCGATCAAAACACTCACCTTTTTTGCTGTGTGTGTGTGTGGGTGGCTTTCCTGACATCTTTCCTATCGCTCCCTTTGCTGTCCCCCTCCCTCTTCCTTGTAGTCTGTCTCCCTTCCTCTCTGCCTCTCTTCCTCCCTTCCTCCCTTTCTATCTCTCCCTCCCTTGTGTTTATCCTAGCCTTTTGGAGCACATGCTGGTCATGCTGTGGTGGCTCAGCTATTGTGGAGGGGAGCCTGTGGCTGGCATGTGTCAACAAGAGGGAGATAAGGCAGAGATGCAGGTCAGCCTGTCTCTGCCTCTCCCTCCTCTTCAAAGGTGCACCAAAAATCTACAAAGACCCCCTCTTGGGTTCTATCAGTCTTCTACAATGAGTACTGAATCCTCTGAGCTGTTGACTGACTGTGTATGTGTACATGAGCTCATGCTCAAAATCTGCCCATACAATGCCTATTTGTGCAGTGTAGCCCTGAGCTGCTTTTCTAAGGATGCCTCCATTCCCATCAGTATCAGAAAGGGGCAGTGGCCTCCACCAGCAGCTATACACTGTGAGAGAGTAGTGAGACATCAGTGAGGCATGCATCTTTGAAGTACGGCTGCTGTTTTGTTCCCAAATCACTCACAGCTATGGCTTCCCTCTCAATGGGGGATAAGGCTGCCTGGTCTCTACAAGCCCTGTTTATGTAAGATAGTGCAGCTGCCCTGGTGTGTTATGCATGTCTGAGCTCAAGTGCTTCCTTTGCTCCATACCTGGCATTAGTAGGTCTCTCTCCATTACCGTGGCAACCATGTCTCCTTGGCAACAGTTGTAGTAGGTTTCTCCATACCTTCCATCCAGTGTTGGGAGTAATTAGCCTAATCTTCATCTTGATTGTAAATACACAGATCATTAGGGCATTGGCCCTTGTTCCCATTGTCTGTCCACTTAGTGTCATTACACCAATCTTTGAGGTGTTGTAGTTATACACGCACCCCATACAGTGTTTCTTTGATGGTAGGTAAAACTGCTCTGCTTTTTGCCTTAGAAGGAGTGTAGACATGTGGCGCATGCAGTAACCAACTGGTTTATTGAATGGTTTATTGTACAGTGTGTCAGTATGTAGTAAAGTGTACGTAGTTGGGCTGTAATACAAGTCAGTTGGTAACTGAGCCAGCCAGGCACGTGTTGCGCCACTGTCTGTGGTCTCTCAGAGGCCTGTGGTGTGGGGATGGCCGGAATTCTCCTCTGACAACAGTCGGACGTTGTTCCTCTGAACGCTTGCCAAGGCAACGTGGCCTCGACTGGTCCACCCCATGTACCGTGTGTTGTGTTTAGACTTGGCCAAATGAGGTGACCTGGCAAGGTTTGTGAGCGAAATGTGGCGATTACATCACCAGCTACGGCGGAGCTGCTGCTCTGGCCTATGCAGCAAACTGACAGAATCCCACCAAGGAACAGTGATCTGTATACCCAACACCTCATTGGCTACACCTGACAAGGGTTGTGAGCGAAATGTGGCGATTACATCACCAGCTACGGCGGAGCTGCTGCTCTGACCTATGCAGCAAACTGACAGAATCCCACCAAGGAACAGTGGTCTGTATACCCAACACCTCATTGGCTACACCTGGCAAGGGTTGTGAGCGAAATGTGGCGATTACATCACCAGCTACGGCGGAGCTGCTGCTCTGGCCTATGCAGCAAACTGACAGAATCCCACCAAGGAACAGTGATCTGTATACCCAACACCTCATTGGCTACACCTGGCAAGGGTTGTGAGCGAAATGTGGCGATTACATCACCAGCTACGGCGGAGCTGCTGCTCTGGCCTATGCAGCAAACTGACAGAATCCCACCAAGGAACAGTGGTCTGTATACCCAACACCTCATTGGCTACACCTGGCAAGGGTTGTGAGCGAAATGTGGCGATTACATCACCAGCTACGGCGGAGCTGCTGCTCTGGCCTATGCAGCAAACTGACAGAATCCCACCAAGGAACAGTGGTCTGTATACCCAACACCTCATTGGCTACACCTGGCAAGTCAGCAGGGGACGAGACAGCCTTTCTCTTCGACAGCTGTTCCCCTCCCCTCTCCCTCTCTCTTGTGACTAGATCTTCACCCACACAAAAGGCACCTGGTGACTAAGTCCCATCCTTCACCGCCAAATTTGTCAAATGTAGTTCCCAGAACCTTTCAACACATAGTGTCTGCTACAATGTGCAATTCTGTGGCACTCTGTGGAAAGTTCCTTAGTGCCCTGAGTGCTTTGTGAAAGGTGATAGTTTGGTGGCCTAAGGGTATAATTTGACATGGATTGTGGGGCTAATCCAATTAGCAATAGACACCCTCGGCTATTGTGAGTATATGCAGCCAGTGTCAGGTGGTCTACTGTTGATATTGAGCAAAGAGTGATCCAACCTGGTAACCTTCAAATGGGAATGGTATGCTCTGAAGTCAAAGCTACCTACTGCCTTGTGTGCAAGTAGACCCTGTCCATGTGATTGTGTGTGTCTCTCCTTGGACTGTGCGAGACTTCTTTGATGCTGAAGGTTATAGTTCGAGAAGGAATCTCGTCAGTTATGTGCCCTTTGCCCCCTACCTTCTCGAGTGCCCTTTGAAGCGTGTCAAGGTCAGTCAGTTCTTCCTGAACTACTGCACACTTTTGCACGTATCGCAGATTAGCCATCATATCCTTCCTGTCGGAAGGACTCAGGTTTTGGTGAAATTGAAATTTGTGGACCAATTATGTATTCCCATTGGTACCACATACACATGGTACATACTTCATCACATGTACATATTATATAACTTGTACACCAGCACCTGTGAGGCAATATAGACTGACGTGAGAAATTGCAGGCATTTCTTGCAATTACTCACTTCCAGTCAGCACTCCACTAATGCATTGCACATACTATATAATTACGTGTATCGACTGTGTGTAAGTGTTCATGTACAGCTGTATCCTCGTGAGATCACCAGTGCATGAAATTCTACTTCCTAGATTGAAATTCCTGTAGTTCCGATATTGGACACACCTCATTCCAGACCTCACAACTCTTTCCTAGTTGGCAATTGATTACGTTTTGACATCTCTCTCTCTCTCTCTCTCTCTCACTCTCTCTCTCTCTCATCTCCCAGCTGCTAGTTGCAGATGAGGTGGTGCTAACATTCGGCTGTTCGTCCGTCAAAGACAGGGAAGAATGGATGACTGCATTTAACGTCTTCAGAAAGATGGCACTCCCCGTCTCGGAGCACCCGGCACTCCAGGCATCAATCACTAACGGTAGGGGCTTACCCCTCGTAGCAGCAACTATTGCAACATACTGCAAAATAAGTACACATACCGTGGGATGGGACAGAAGAATGTCAATATTAGTGAGGCGTTTCATTTTCAGGGTCGAGTCATGCATGAATAAACTATTGTCTGGGAAAGAAAATGCTTCCTTATTAGAGGGTTGTCCTCATTTCAGAGGTGTCTATTGTGTAGAGGAATTCTATAAATGTGTCCCAGCTGCGCACGTTAGGGCCGGAATTCTCAACTGCCCGAAATGTGTCACTTTTCCACCTCACTAGACAAGCCTGCCACGTATGTTCTTACTAAAACTGGGCTCTAATTGTAGTGCCTCGAACCGTCTGTAAGCCCCTGTGATGAGGTGAAACATTGGCTGAAACCCCGCACACATCAAAGACAGCACCACTTTCACTACGTGACCCGTTTGAAAATAGAGAGATTGTCGGGCTCTTGAGGAGTCCTTTATGCCTCTTATACACGTGAACTTAGCATTCTAGATCATACATACATACATGTTTTAACTCTTGGTGCACTAGTTTAGCTTGTGTACATGTACATGTACGTAGTGGTGATGAATTCTGGGCATTTGGCAGCATGCTATTGGGACAGCGAGGGAGTGAAATGACCATATGGAGGAGTGTGTGAGGGCACTTGTCTGCAATAGCAAGCTGTGCGTCTAGTAAGGTGTCTGTTTGTCAAACGGAGCCCCAGTCTGGTGATACTTTACCTGCAGCAGCTGCCTCATTCTAGGGCATTACCATACCAACATAGCGCTACGACGGTCTTTACTGTGGGTACACTTTCTCCCTTGTTTGTCTTCACTCTTTCTCTGTTCTCTCTGTCTCTTCTCTCTTCTCTCTTCTTCTTCTTCTTCTCCAACAGAAAGGAACTTTTTCTCGGTGTTTCTGAGCAAGACACACAGCTCCCTGGCCATTCACCAGGGCCAGTACATGCTGTCCCTGGACAACGAGGCAATCTCTCTCCACTGGATCACGACCGCCGCCATCGCGCACACCTGGCCTCGCAAGACCGTCCAGGAGTTCGGAATGAGGGGCTCAAATCTCGTGCTCAAGGTCTGCAGGTGAGAATGGTAATAATAGTGGTGGGGCTTGAATAGTGTTGTAGTCTCAGGTCGGTTTAGAGCAGGAATGTCCGTCTGCAATGCACGACGTAATGTGTGGCGGTATGCCGACTGGGGTGTTGGTGTGTCAACTACTGTAGCACCAGTTATGTTGTTCTCTCTCGAGCACATTTTGAATCTTACATACCAGACATGCCAATCTCAAGCCATATGAATAATGCTTGCATGGGCATCGACGAAACGTTAGATAAGTATTTGGCTATAGAGAGTAGCAAGCACGTCGGGTATTCTCAACTTCATGCCTCTTACTGTATTGTTGCACATGTGTTGTGTTTATATCTTTTTCTCTCCCTCACTCTTTTTCACTTCTCCTCTTTTTCAGGGCTGGAGGAAGCTCGTCGAATGTGGTGGAATTTGAATTCAGAGCCACCAACTCCACCACAGTGGCCATCCTCAAGAGATGGAACATTGTGCTGATGGAATCCATCGCAGCCAACTGCGGGGATCCAGAGCAGATGAACTATATCGGGAAGGTGCTCAACAGGCAGGCCACTGATAGCCCGGAGACTGGAGGAGGTAGTAGACTCAGCAAGTCTTTCCGCAAGCGCAGCCAGTCGACGAAAGAGAGACAGACGGACGTGAAGGAGAAGTGGATCCTTTTCAGGTTCACGGAGTGCTACCCTTCGTCCCGGGATGCTGGGTGTGGACACGCCCTCTCCGCAGTCAACAAGTGGGACCAACTCACCGCAGAAAGCACCCCACCACGTCCCCCCGCCCCTCCCACCTTCACTTGCCGGAGAAATTGGCGAAGCTGCTCGTCCGGGTCACCTGCAGTCTTCCCCACCCCCCCCTCCCTCCCCGCCCTCTCCGAGACTACTCCAGCAGTGAGGAAGACTCTGACTACGCCTACATCAAGGAGGACGAGGTGAAGGGACCGGCAAAGTCCCCTAACTCTCCCTCGGAGAGCCCGCGGGGAACTGGGGAGAGGACTCTTGACCAGGAGCTAGAAGACCTTGAGATTAGCATGAGGAGGGAGAGGAAGGAGAAGAAGAGAAAGGCGGCACTGGAGAAGAAGAGAGCAGTGACTATGGCTGCTCGCCCGAGCCACCAGCGTCCGCCTCTGTTTTTCACCCCGGCCGACCCCGAAGATTACCTGGAGCCTCTCTCGTTGGGGGGCAATCGTCCGAGGAGCACGGGGGACTACGCGACTCCGATTCCGTCTCACGGCCGCTCCTGCTCTGAACCCGACACATCGTTCTGCTCGGACTCAAAGTCTCTCTCACAGCCGACAATCCACACGCTCCACTACAACCCTCCCCACCTCTCTCCGACTCCCGAACTCTGCGAGACTCCGCCCACCCTCCCCTCCCGCGCCTGGCGCTCGAAGGAGAGCCCCGATCGCTCCAGAGACGACTCGGACATTTCTCCCTATGCCGTGGTGAGCAAGATCCTGCCGGGGAGGATAGTAGAGGAAACTGACTCACGTGCTCCCTCGGCCAGAAACAGAGCAAAGAGCTCGCCAACATCCACACAACGGCATGAACTAGACCAGACACAAGCTAGCGATCAGTCCTCTGAACCAGCAGAGAACTCAGCTACTTCTCAAAACACAGCTCAGAATTCGACTTTGGATTCGACTTTGGCAGCAGACGGGGAGGCGGAGTCGGCCCCGCCCATTCCTCCCCGAAGCCCTATCAAGGAGAAGCTGTCCTTGTGTTCCAGCACGTCGTCTATCGCCTCGAACCACTCACACCGCTCCAGCCATGGGCACGTGGCCGGCGTCCGTTGCTCAAAGTGTCTTCGCCAGCTGAGGGCACCAGTCAACAAGACGCTCTCAGAGCACCGCGGTCAACCGTTGTCTCAGGGCATGCCTCCACTCCACCACCACCACGAGAAGTGCTCTCTGCCGGACCTCAACACCACCGTGAACGGAGTGGTCCCGGAGAACAGTCTCCAGCAGCAGAGACAGAGGGGGCAGCGCGGACGGATCCCCAGCGCGTCCGAGTCTCGCTCCAGCTCAGACGGAAGCTCGTCTTCCCTCCACTCCCCTGGTAATTACCTGGAGATTGTTCCTGACTCCGGTACTGCGGGGTCGTCACGAGGCGGCACCAACAGTAGAGGACGGAACTCTGACCCGGAAAGCCTGCAGATTTTGGACGACTTTCTGCAGTATTTTGATGACAAGGTCAACTCTCTGAACCAGGCTGACGGGTCCTCCCCTGATCAGCACAGACATGCCGCATTCACCTCCCCGCCTCACTCCAATGGGTGCACCCCATCCCGGAGGATGAATGGGGTAAAGGATCCCCCGTTACTCCAACGCAGCAACACCCTCGCCTCGTCCGTAAACCACACCCATTCACCACACCCACCACACCCAATCATGCCGAACAAGAGTCTCTCTTTCACGACCGGCACTCGTTCCCCGGCTCCGCCCGTCCCTCCTCGCAGCGATATCTCTCTCGGAGGGCAGGGGCGGGCTCCACACTACCCCTCCAACCACCACCAGCCACTCTATGCCACTGGGTACCACCCTCGACCGTGGGCCCGTACCAGTAGCTCCGGGTCTTTCAGCAGCACCTCTGGCGACAGTAGAAGCCCCCCGGCACTCTACAGTGTTCGGACACGTCAGTCCAGCTCCGGTTCAATTCACAGCGGGAGTCCGAGCCCCACAATGGCTCCGGCTCCTCCTCTTCCTCACCCGCGCTCCTGGCAGAACCTGGCTCGCCACTTCACCCAAGTCCCTCCAGAGAACGAGGGCTCGGCGACCGTCTTCATACACCACCTCAAACAGGATCGTCGTCGCGTCATGCACTCGCACATGGTCTGAACCACATGTGCTCAGAGTGTGCTCACGAGAGAGCCAGCCGTCACAGCTGGCAAAAAAACTGTGAAACACTTTTTAGTCATGTCGTCTGCACTTTTTCGTTGGTTGTCCGTCTGCTTTGTGTCTACTTTGTGTTGTAATTGTGAGGCTATTTTACCCACGCCTCGTATCGTATCGATTTTTCGTTCTTTTTGTATTTCGTGTATGTTTTGGTTCTTACTATGTGAGTGTCTCCATAGGATGTTCTAGTTTAAATGTGCGTGATTTTTGTGTATCAATTTACACAAATTAATATTTGAATAGACAAACATTTCTGGTTCTTGCGGGTCAAAGTGATTGATGCACGTGAATCATATGTTAATGTTCTTGCCCATCGTCTTGCCTGGCACTGTCTCCTCATTTTCCCTTCGAACCACTCAGTCTAGTGTGCCATGAGGCCTCCGCCCCTTCAGAGAATGGTGCAGAATTTAGAAGAAGCAGTGTTGATCCTCGCTACTGCTCCCTGCTCTTCAACGTCACGACAGTAGTCGGCGGGTTGCTCGCTTCCTCCCTTTGTATTACTCTCGCCCTGGGTCTGGACCGCGGAGCTGGTAGTGGAAGTCCTCAGGAGCGAGTATTTGTTCCTCTGGTCCTCAGGGAACCCGGCGAGATGGGCCTCCAGCCACGTCACGTAGCAGTTCCGCAGTACGCGCCCGCTGCGGAGCTCCTTGTAAATGACGACTGCCGTGTCGTCGTAGCGACGTGATATGTACTCGTCGACAAACGGCTGCACCTTCCTCCGCCTAAGCATGAACCAAGAAAGTCAGTGCCCCAAGTTGTGTATTTTGCCATGGCAACGCGATATATTCAGTCAGAGGAGGGTTAAATTTCGCACGCGTGTGTTCCTCTAAATAACGCGCATCTTTTCTCTTGCGATGTCTGCAGCTGGACGATCCGTCTCTTTTCTGCTCTCGTTCTGTGGAAAGCGGAACGTGCAACCTCACTACGAGTACGAGGAGGATGACGGCGAGTTCTACTGCGAGGTACAGAGCCTCAGCCGCAGCTGCTACCCCCTCGATCGAACCTCTCTCCGTGTGTTTCGTTTTGCAGCTGCGCGTGCCCGGTGTCGAGTTCATGGGGTGCGGAGAGGCTGGGAGCGAGGAAGGATCGCAGGAGAAAGCGGCGGAGATGTTCTGTAACCTCCTCCTTGAAAAGGGGATCATTGACAGGAGAGAGCTTGCAGGCGGAGGGGGCCAAAATTTAGTTCACAGCCGAACCCCTGTATTGGGGGTTCAGTTGCCCAGACCTCCTGTCCCTCTTCGACCCCCTCCACAAGCCACCCACTACAATAACCCCACCAACTTCCAACAACGTCCACGTGGATTCAGTAAGATGATAATTGGTTGTCTCTCCTCCAATGTTACGCCTCTCCCCATTCAGCTCCACCTCACCAGTTTGGTGGAGTCCGCCCCTCTCTCCCTCCTCCCCCCATGGCCGCTCGTCCGGGCCCCTCCCCTTCCTCCACTGGCTTAACTCTCGTCTCTGACTATGGAGGTGCACCTTTTTTTGCTCGTTTGTCAAATTCCTAGACCGTAAAACCAATCATGGTTGTATAATGTTGGGACCTGACAAGATCTACGGCACAGCTTTAAAAAAAATGCCGTGCACTTCGCTGATTTTTATTTGCAAGTTTCTTCGGGAGTACACTTTGGCTTTAGCACGCCACTGGCAGCATTTCATGAAATATTGTTTTTGCCGTGTAAGTTTTAATTATGCGGTACTTCAGAATTACGCTTAGCTTACGCCTCGACAACTTGCCCTGATTGTTTCAGTGAAGGTTGTGGACCCTCACGCTCCCGGAGGAGACAAACACTTTGACAGAGCCACCAACAAGAGAAAATACGATGAAATAGCCGTAAGCTCAACAGCAATACCACTTTTTACAAACATTCTCACCCCCCGCCCCCCTCCCGGTCCTCCCACAGGGACCCGACTCAGGGCACTTCACTCTAGATACGGCCAAATCAAGACTCCACCTCTTCCTACAGCAGACCAGGCAGCCCAAGGACATGCAGATCAGACCTGTCGGACCAGATCATAACCGGTTTGACCAACCGGTCAATCCTGTGCCTCTAGTTACGCACTATCTATATCTCTCTTTAGGAGTTTTGTGGCCGAAATGACGATATATATTCCAAAACTGCATCAAAGTCAGTTGAACTCATGGTTCTTAGTAAAGAAACAAACTTATTGGTAGCAGAATCTATTGGTAGTATATATACGCAATAAGGGAACAGGGATAGGGGTCAGCGTATTAACCCACTGTTGCAAATGTTCTATTAACCACTTCTGTCCCTTTACTCTCTCTTAGTTCTCCCAAGTATTAACTTCCCTCTCTTCTCCAGCAATCCATGCAGAGGAACACGCCAGTACCAAGAAGCTCGTCGGAAACGCCCTGGCTCTGAACCTAGTGCGACAGCTCTTCAACCTCGGAGCCATTGACGCAGCCAGAGCCCCAGGGACCAAGAAACCAGCAGACGTAGTCAGCGAGCAGTTCTTCACCCCCCCCCTCTCGCACTCCTAACTTTCTCCTCTCTCTCCCTCTTTGTCTTTTCAAACTATCTGGCTTCAAGCTTCATCTGCCCTATCTCGCTCCAAACGAACCTTTCCCCCTTTATGTTTGAATATCTCACTCTAATCTCTTAATTTCCCTACTGTCTTGCAGCACCATACTCTCCTCTTATTCCCTATCGTGCTCCCAAGATCCCCCTTTTTCCTCTTCTCTATGAATGTGGTATATAGTATACATACATACATATGCCAACACGTGCAGGTTGATCCAAAGGAAGTAAATCTGAGTCCAGAACTGGTAGATATGCTGCGAAGGCTGCTGGCAGACCTCAACATTACTCCCATGCCAGAGGTACATACATACATACATACATGTACATACACAAAACCAATCAACTTAAAAAACTAACATCATTATGTAACAGACCCACACTTTATTGACTGTAACGTTTGTTTTCTAGCTCTACGTGTATGTAGCGTCACATCTGCCCTTGAAACCCCACAATGCAGGGGCCCTCGGGATTCTCATGTTCATAGATTTCACTGACTCGTTGTCAACCATTGTTTGTGTTCCCCAGGTGACAGGAGATGAGTCCAGGCCAGTCTCGGTTCTCCAGCCACTCCCCAAACCAAACTCCGCCGCAGCGGGGGAGGTGAGGGAGGGGGACGGTGTAGTCAGTTGGAAACCTCCCCACATTGATTGGAACCCTTGGACCAACCGCAGCACATACCTCGAGGGTTCCCCCTATGCCCAGCTGGAACCAGTGAGTCGTTGGGTTGCCAACGACGACGGGTCATGTGATGTCATGTGATCTGTAGGGTGAGCGAGCTGCTCGGTACTCTCACGATCTGGCTCAGGAGATGAGCAGCAGGAAGGGCAGCGAGTTTGCCGTTCAAAAGGTAAATATAGAACTAGGTTTCTATTTTAGTAAAAACACATCTAGCCCTCATGCATAATCTGCCACGTTCCCTTTAATAAGAAGAGAGTGGGAAGGTAATGGCTGTTCCCCCAGAGTCTCCAGGAGCGGCAGTCCCTCCCCATATCCTCCATGGCAGAGGCGATAGTCTCTGCGGTACAGACCCACCAGGTGGTCGTCATCCGAGGTAGCACTGGCTGCGGGAAGACGACGCAGGTACCCGCAGTATATCCTGGATAGCATGGTCGCCAGTGGCAACGGAGCTCACTGCAACATTGTCATCACACAGGTGGGCTGATGGACACTGGCGCTGCTGTAATCATGTAATCCATCTATTCTCCTCTTTCTTGTGTGAATTTTACCTACGTACTCCCTTTAGTGTCCATTTGCGTCCCATTTTTTTCACGAGCACTTTAACAACTGGTAGTAGCTATTGGTGAAGTTTGATAGTAATCATGTGGAGCATTGCTAAAAAGATTTTAACCCTTGGGTGCCATGGGTATCTCCTTAAAAACAGAAATTGATGTATAAACATATTAACACCTAGTATTATAGCCATATATAAATTCTTATGGACTTATGGAGGCTCTGGGCATATATATATTATATGCCCGTGGCTTGCTAAGGGTTAAATTGTAGTGCATCATGGAGGAGCTTGTGCTTGTGATGCAGACAGACCAAGGGAATCTAACGTGTGTGTTTCTCTCTCTCTCCCTCTAGCCTCGTCGTATCAGTGCAGTGTCAGTGGCAGAGAGGGTGGCCCAGGAGAGGTGCGAGGATCTGGGGTACTCCACTGGCTACAGCGTACGGTTCGAGTCATTTCTCCCTCGTCACTACGCCTCTCTCCTCTTCTGCACCGTCGGTCAGTCTGCCGTTTTTCCACGTCTTTAACCTCTCCCTTTTTTGTTACTAGAGTGAACGTATTTTTGGCAAACAAACGTAGTTCAATTTTGCATGCGTGTACAGAATCACATAAAGTATTACAGTATGTGGCACTTGGAATTCGCGAAAACGTGAAATCTGCGAGATTTACAGAAGACATGAAATTCAGTGTGAGTGAGCTCTAAAGTATATGCAGTGCCCGTCACAATTTTAATAGAAAATTCTCATTGAGACAATTACTGTGGGTAGGATTGCTTCTTCGCCTGTAGGCGTGAGGGTTTAGTCGGGAACTCGGCCTGTTAAACAGTTTGTTTCAACGTAGAGATTCTGTACAATCATACCGTTTTCAGTTCTCTGTTTTTATCCCCCCTCACACACACACACACACACACACACACACTCACAACAAAAGGTGTTTTACTGCGTAAACTGGAGTCTGGACTGATCGGCATTTCTCACGTAATCGTGGACGAAATCCACGAACGGGACATGAACGTAAGATAATTGGGACGTCCAGTTGTCTGATCCATTGATTGTTGTTGACCATCTTGCCTCCTACAGGTCCACGTTGATTTGTATTTCTGGAGACTCCAGTGAGGAAAGGGTTAGTTGATGATAGTTTAACCCTTTCCACACTGTTGTCTCCGAGGTAACACAAATTGTGATCTAGTAATGTTCCATTTCTATGTGCTGTTTTGGAATCGGAATGTGACTAGACATATGTACAGAGATTTCAGTGTGGAGAGGGTTAATTTAATGCAACATGTCATTAACCCTTTGTGCACAGTGATCTCAAAAGCAACCAAAACGTTCTCAACAAAAAAGCATTGGTCTTGAATTTAATCTTTAACCCCTTTCCTACTAGACTGACTTCATTCTGGTAGTTCTTCGTGAAATGATTCGTGTGTACCCTGACCTCCGAGTCATCCTGATGTCCGCGACAATAGACACCTCCCTCTTCTCCCGTTACTATGGCGACTGCCCCATTATCGAGGTGGAGGGAAAGACGTTCCGTGTCCAAGGTATATACATAGGCACTGGTTTAAGATCATGCTTAGGTCATAATAGATGCTGCCTTAGGTCACTTCATCACCGGGAGTAATAGTTCTTGTCAAGAAAGAAGGAAAGAAAAGTGTGCCATATGGCGGTGCTTTGCTAGAAAAAATGGCTTTCATTGCAAGCATAAAGAGGAGAAATTATTTTTGAGCAAATGTAATCTATATACCAAGAACCTAAGCCAGGCAGGAGGGAGAAAGAGAGAGAGAGAGAGAAGAGGGAGGAGGACAAGAACGCCGGTGTAAAGGGTTTCGTTCCGCCATCTTGTTTTTCCGTTTTTCAGAGTATTTTCTGGAGGACGCCATTCAGATGGTGAGTTTCACTCCGCCTCCCATTGACCGGAAGAAGAAGAAGAGTAGCGGCGGAGGTGAAGCTGAAGAGGAGGAGGAAGAGGTGAGGTAGGGGTGTCATGTGATGCTAATCCGAGGTCATGTGACTGTCACAGGAGAACCTGAACCTGGTGTGTGATACCAGTGTCTACAGTCACCACACCCAGCACGCCATGGCCCAGCTGAATGAGGGAGACATCTCCTTTGAACTGATCGAGGTGCTCTCTCTCTCTATCCTCTATCCTCTGGTTTCCTCTTAACTCTCTTTCTCCTGTCTTTCCTTGCTCCACCCTTCTTGTACAGTTGCAGAATTTTTCGTATCACCTCCTCCTACCCCAACCCCTCTCTCTCCCTGCAGGCCCTCTTGCTCTACTTCCAGAGCCTCCAGACCCCGGGAGCCGTCCTCATCTTCCTCCCTGGTTGGAACACCATCTTTGCTCTCCACAGACACCTCAGTGCCCACAGAGTGTTTGGTAACCAAGCATTACATCGTCTCTCTCCATAGACAATGTATGGGTTTCATTTCGGATTACGTCGTCCGTAGGGTCTCCTGCGTACGTACTGCTGCCGTGTCATTCCCAGATACCGCGTGAGGACCAGAGGAGAGTTTTCATGCCAGTACCACAAGGGGTCACAAAGGTCGGCTCAATTGTGTAACTCTTTTGACCAAATTAGGATATTAGCAATGATAGATTTTGTTGCCTGGGGAAATTTCACTTTAATACTTGTTCTGTTATATATGCAGGTAATTATTGCCACTAATATAGCAGAGAGCAGTATCACTATTGATGACGTCATCTATGTTATTGACTGCGCCAAGTAAGAGGGAATACCTCCCCCTCTTTTTTATTAACCCTTCTCTGACTAGTATATCTCTTCCTATGGTATTCTCTCTCTTAACCCTTCTCTGACTCTCCTTTCTCCTCCCTCCCTCCCTCCATTCAGAGCTAAGATAAAACTGTTCACGTCCCACAATAACATGACGCACTATGCGACGGTGTGGGCTTCTCGTACGAACCTTGAGCAGAGGTGTGGTCGTGCCGGTCGCGTCAGGCCTGGCTACTGCTTCCATCTCTGCAGCCGAGCCAGATACCACAGGTTAGACCGTTTCCACGGTTGCTCTTCTTGATTCTCTTCGTTTCTTTATTGCCCATCTCTCTTATCTCTCTCTCTCTCTGTAGCCAAGGTAGATAAGATTAGATTCCATGGCTGTTCTTCTTCATTTCTCTCTCTTGCTTGCCTCTATTCTTCTCTTTTTCTTTCCTTGTTTTAGCTAGCCTGGAAACTCTGTCTGTCTTACACCACCCCCACCCAGGATGCCGCAGCACATAACTCCAGAGATGTTGAGGACTCCTCTCCACGAGATAGCTCTGACCATCAAGCTCCTCCGATTGGGAGAGGTCCCCTCGTTCCTCAGCAAGGCCCTGGAACCTCCTTCTCCCACTGCTGTCACTGAGGCCATGGTCCTTCTCCATGGTAACTATCGCTAGCTTTCCAGATGTATGGGTGCCCTTCCAAATGTAATAAAGCTCGCGGTGTGGCCTACCAAATGTATGGAGCTCGCGCTGTGGCCTACCGAATGTATGGAGCTCGCGCTGTGGCCTACCGAATGTATGGAGCTCGCGCTGTGGCCTACCGAATGTATGGAGCTCGCGCTGTGGCCTACCAAATGTATGGAGCTCGCGCTGTGGCCTACCAAATGTATGGAGCTCGCGCTGTGGCCTACCAAATGTATGGAGCTCGCGCTGTGGCCTTCCAAATGTATGGAGCTCGCGCTGTGGCCTTCCAAATGTATGGAGCTCGCGCTGTGGCCTTCTGAATGTATGGAGCTCGCGCTGTGGCCTTCCAAATGTATGGAGCTCGCGCTGTGGCCTACCAAATGTATGGAGCTGCGCTGTGGCCTACCAAATGTATGGAGCTCGCGCTGTGGCCTTCCAATGTTGGAGCTCGCGTTCCAAATGAGCTCGCGCTGTCCAAATGTATGGAGCTCGCGCTGTGGCCTTCCAATGATGGAGCTCGCGCTGTGGCCTTCTGAATGTATGGAGCTCGCGCTGTGGCCTTCCAAATGTATGGAGCTCGCGCTGTGGCCTTCCAAATGTATGGAGCTTGCGCTGTGGCCTACCAAATGTATGGAGCTCGCGCTGTGGCCTTCCGAATGTATGGAGCTCGCGCTGTGGCCTACCAAATGTATGGAGCTCGCGCTGTGGCCTTCCGAATGTATGGAGCTCGCGCTGTGGCCTACCAAATGTATGGAGCTCGCGCTGTGCCTACCAAATGTATGGAGCTCGCGCTGTGGCCTTCCGAATGTATGGAGCTCGCGCTGTGGCCTACCAAATGTATGGAGCTCGCGCTGTGCCTTCCCGAAATGTATGGAGCTCGCGCTGTGGCCTACCAAATGTATGGAGCTCGCGCTGTGCCTACCAAATGTATGGAGCTCGCGCTGTGGCCTTCAAATGTATGGAGCTCGCGCTGTGGCCTACCAAATGTATGGAGCTCACGCTGTGGCCTACCAAATGTATGGAGCTCACGCTGTGGCCTACCAAATGTATGGAGCTCGCGCTGTGGCCTACCAAATGTATGGAGCTTGCGCTCTAGCTTGAGGGGCAAACATAACCCTCACCACGTGTGTAAGGGATCCAAAGAGCATTCTATAGGCTACAAGACATTAGAGATGAATGCGAATATAGTAGTACTTTAGCCAGGTTGAATGGAGACTTGCTAATCTTTACTACAAGTTAGTTGTTCCTCTCTCTCTCCCTGGACAGAGATGGAGGCAATGGATGTGGCTGACCAGCTCACTCCTCTGGGGACCATTCTAGCCAGACTCCCCATTGAGCCACGCATGGGCCGAATGATGGTCCTCGGAGCTGGCTTTGGGTATGATTCCTCTCTCCCTCCCTGCTCACCCCTCTCTCCTCTCTCTCTCCTCTTCACCCTCCTTCTCTCTTCCTCCCTACTCTCTTACCTCCTCTTTATCATCTTCTTGTAGCTACGTCCTCTCTCCCTCCTACTCACCTCCTCTCTCCCTCTTCTCACCGCTCTCCTCTGCTCCTCCTCATCACCCCTCTCTCGTACAGCCATAAGAAAGACTTCGCAGAGACTCGCTCTTCCGATGTCTCCTCCGTCTTCCTCTCTTCCACCCCTCACTTTCTCTCTGTTAAACTCTTATTGTTGCACAACTTTCATAAAACTGCAAGTGTTTGTCCGCCGACTGCATTCGCAATTTTTTGCGGGTATTCTGTCGTGATAGTTTTAATCTCTCTCTCTCCTTCCCGATGTTCTCTGCCCGCAGTGTCGGTGACGCCATGTGTACCATCGCAGCATGCACCAAGTTTCCCCGAGCCGTTCGTCTCACCTCCTGGATTCAAGCGACTCCCTTTCTCCCACAAGAGGTTTGCAGGTCACCGTGCCAGCGACCATCTCGCCATGCTCAACGCCTTCTACCAGTGGGAGAGAACCAGGTCCACTAAAAACTTTCGTAAAACTTTTTTTTCATTTCGCACGTTTTTTTTCACAAACGTTTTCTATCACACAAGTTGGTGTTACTTGATTCACAATTTCGTTTGTTCTCTCGTGCGCTCTTGATATATTATACATAGGGCTGATGGGGAGGATGCTGAGCTGTCTTTCTGCCAGTCCAACCAGTTGGCACACACCTCACTGCGAATGGCTGCCGAAGCTAGGGTCAGTGGTGATCTCAAAACCGTAGTCTTTGTCTAACCCATCTTTTCACTTCTCTTGCAGGAGCAGTTGAAAGGCCTTCTCGTGTTCTCCGGGTTTCCAGAAGGTATGTATAACTACAAACGAAAACATGTTTTTTGCAAATGAATGAGTCCACTTTCTCTCTCTTGCAGAGTGTTTTGTTCCATACCACTGCCGAGTCACTGGTCCAGATGAGAGATCTGACATGGTCTGTCATCTCCTATTGAAGCTTCTCACCTTAATTTCCTAGCTGCCGTGATCCTTGCCCACATTCATCCTCTTAACGTCTACCTGACATTCTCCTGTCCTTCCTTTCTCTCTCCTTCCTCTCTCTCGCCCTTCCTGCGACTGCCACCTCGATTCATCCTCCACGTATCTCTCCTCCTTTCCTCGAAGACAAGAGCAGCGGAAGCTGCACTCACATACTAAGCTCGTCTCCTCGTCCTAGCACGACCCTCTCCTCACATAATACGCTCCCGCGCTCTGCTCCTCCTATCCTCCATCTCCTCCCTCTCCTCCTCCTTCCTCCCCCCTCTCCTCCTCCTTCCTACTCCCTCTCCTCACCTCTCCCCCCCTCTCTCCACAGATAGTGGCACTGCTCTGCGCGGGATTGTATCCCAACGTCTGTTTCCACAAGGAGAAGAGGAGAGTTCTAACAGCCGAGGGGAAGTCAGCTCTCATCCACAAGTCTTCAGTCAACCTCATCAACAAAGACCCCAAATTTCCCTCTCCTTACTTCATCTTCGGAGAAAAGGTAGTAATTTTCCACTTCTTACCTCTTCTAGCCGGAGGTAGAGCAAAACCCCTGACCTTGGGGGGGAAATGCGGCAGTATGTATATAAGGGCTAAATTTAGAAATGTTACTAAAGATAGAACAAAACAATAGGGGCACAGTGGAAGAAGTTCCGTTTTTACTAAATTTAGCCCTTATATACTGCCACATTCCCTTTAATATTGTGCTGAACCCAAGTGAAATTTATAGACAGGGCATCTTTTATTTGTAGTGTCCTTTCACTCACTGTCTTCCCTTTCCTTCCCCCCTCTCTCCTTCTTTTATCTCCTCCCCCAGCTGAAGACAAGAGCGGTAGCGGCAAAGACCACGACAATGGTAGAACCAGTTCATCTCCTCCTCTTCGGCTCCAGCTCTGTCGTCTCCCATGGCAACAATCTCGTCAAACTGGACGAGTGGTAGGGTCGCCTACGAAAATTTTATTTTGTAGTGTCCATTTTTTTGTGGTCAGGATACCGTTGATGATGTCACATGAATCGGCCGCTCTGATTGGTGGACTACGTCAGGCCGTGGACGACATGATAGTCCGCATAGCGACAAACCCCGCCCAAGTAACGAACCCTTTGCCCCTGGACTCGGCCATCATACAAGCTGTTCAGGCCCTCGTTTCATCAAAAGCCACACCCCCTACGCTTCCTGAGGAACCCTCCCACGGGTGAGTTAAATTTCCCATTCTCTGAACCCTCGAAATAAAATTTCTGCCCCCCAGCCCCCCTCCTGCTCCTTCTCGGGGGTTCTCCCCTCGCTTTAGACCCCACGGCAGTTTCCCGCATACAGGGGGTCGTCCCCCAATTTCTCGCCGATGGTGGGACGAGGTTATCGGCCCAGGGGGCCCCCAAGGGGAATTTCAGGGGAAACTTTCGCGGGGGTTACAGCAGAGGGGCCTATCGTCCGGGACCTTACTGACACTCTATTGAGCATTGCCGCCGTATCAGTGAGTACGGTAGTACTTAGTATATAGGGATGGACATGGTACCTAGCATTATAGATGATGTATGGGCTATGATATATAGGTACTTTGTACTAAGAATGTTGTCAATAGATCTACTGCTACATATCACCATGAACAAATATTGTAAATCAATAAATTAATGATGTCAGCATTGGGATAAATAAATAGCTGATCTCTGCTAACTTTCTGCTGGCGCTATGTCTGTCTGTCATAGTGAAGTTGACGACTTGTAAGTTACAACCATGTCGATGAAGTACGAGTGCCAGCGACAGTCCGAGGTCAACTCCGGGTGAAATGATGTCGCCATGAGGTGCCCCTGTCTCACTCCCACCACCTTCTCGCCGGAACCTCTGTCGAGTGTGGCCAGCGTCTGGACGAGGTCAGAGTTCACCCGAACGATGCCCGGTGCTCGAATGAACACTCCCAGACATTCGTCGTGTGCCTGGTGAGTGGAGCCAGGGGGCGGGGCCTGCCGGAATAGGGCAGGTGCCTTGATTTTGAGCGGGGCCTCGAAACTGTTGATTTGTTTGCCGTAGGCATTTCTAGTGACTTGGATGTCGATTCCTCCAAGCTAGAGGGAGAAGAGAGATACAGAATGGGTTTGGAGAGTGAGAGATGGTTTTGGACTTTCCAAATACAGTGGAACCCCTCTGTGGACACCCGGCCCCTGAAATGAGGACACCTCTTTTATTTCCCCAAGAACAGTTCCTGCGTGCCACCTGAAATAAGGACACCTGACTGGTACTGACACTTTCGGCCATTCGTTAATTAGAGGGGTTCCACTGTGTATGCTTGAACTAAAGGACATGGACACTTTCTCCTTTCCCACTGGCATCCGGGTTAGAGCGGTTGCACTGCATAAAATGTGCATAATGGCAGACGTACCGTGACTTGTCCGCCTTGCTTCTGGGAGTCGAGGTGATCAGAGAGAAGAATTAGGCCCGCACACGTCCCCCACACACACCGCCGTCTCTCTCCCTCCCTGGCGAACGCTCGCAGCTTCTCCCCGAAGCCGTTCTGGCACAGGAATACGCTGAGCGTCGTGCTCTCCCCGCCAGGTATCACTAGTCCGTCAAGTCTTTCTAGCTGCTCCGGGTACTTCACCTCCTCCACGACTACCTTCGCGTCTTTCCTGGCGTCTGCCGCGCTCTCCAGCATGGCGACATGCTCCGCGAAGCCGCCCTGCAGCGCCAAGACCCCGATCCTCGCCTCCTGCGCCGTCTCGCTCATGGCTGCTGCTGATATTGGCTCGACCTGTGGGTGTTGATTGAGTGGTGGGTGGTACAACCGGTTGGACTGCGTTGCGTCACGTTAGCGTCGGCCGTGTTTGACCGCTGCGTGTCTCAGAGGAAAGCAGCTATATAGACACCGAGACGAACAGTGAAGAATGGCGGAGAGTGGAGAGCAACAAAGCCGTGAGATCAGGTCTGTAACTTTGTCTGGAGGCTTGAGTTTGACCGGACCGCAACGTGTAAGCTCTGCTGTACGTACGTTGCTAGGGACGGTGCGGGTGAAGGAAGGGTTGGCTCAGATGATGAAGGGCGGTATAATCATGGACGTGGTGAACGCTGACCAAGCTAGGATAGCGGAGGAAGCGGGGGCCTGTGCAGTGATGGCTCTAGAGAGGGTCCCGGCAGATATCAGAAGAGATGGAGGTGTGGCAAGAATGGCTGATCCTGAGGTAATAGACAGCCACAAGTACACACACTACCCTCCATTCCCTTCTCTCCCTCGCTCCACTCTTCGCCCCTCTCCTTCCCTCTCTTCTGCTTCCCTAGAAAGTGAAGAAGATAAAAGACGCAGTCACCATCCCTGTCATGGCAAAGTGTCGAATCGGGCATTTTGTGGAGGCCCAAATCCTCGAAACCCTCAACGTCGACTTTATTGACGAGTCAGAGGGTGAATAAATTCAATATGAAATCCTGTTGTATACTATTACATAACAAAGGTGCCTCTATAGTAAAGGGAACTAGACTCTTGTGGGACTTCACATCCTCTGAGTTGAATGGAGTGTGTTAGTGGTTTATTGTGGGTATCTTGCTATCAGCTTGTAGTGTTCTCACAAACTGCATTGGAGACTGCCACCCTCAATAGGGATATGGCAAGCACTAATCAATGGGTGCCCCTTGAAGTGTCTAGTGTGTGAAGTACGTATAGACAAAATGAGAGTATTCAAAAATGAATGACACTCTGTTTGTAGAGTCTGGTTAAAGTAGAAGTCAGTGCATCCAGTTCACCATAAAACACTAGCTACCCCCCTCCCCCTCTCTCCCAGTACTGACACCAGCTGACGAAGAAAACCACATCGACAAGACGGTGTTCAAGATCCCGTTTGTCTGCGGGGCCCGCAACCTGGGAGAGGCGCTGCGCAGGATCGCCGAGGGAGCTGCCATGATCAGAACCAAGGGAGAGGCAGGGACAGGTAACTGAGAACAAAAAAGGCCTAAAATATTCGCACAGTACATCCAGCTAGAGTAGATTAACCCTTTGGGCGCCATGGGTATCTCCTTAAATTAGCATAAATTGAAGTATTAGCGCCAACTAGTATTATGACCCCATATAAATTCTTATGGACTTATGGAGGCTCTGGACACATTCATGTGTAAGTGTTAAAATGGTGTTGTATGATACTGTTCTCCAACAGGTAATGTGGTGGAGGCAGTGAGGCATGCCCGTGCCATTCGCCGTGAGATCGCAGTCGCCCGTTCCCTCGGTTCAGCTGAGCTCTGTGGCTATGCCAAGGATCTGGGTGTCCCTCTCGATCTCCTGAGGAAGACAGCGGAACTCGGGAGACTGCCTGTCGTGAACTTTGCCGCCGGAGGACTGGGTCAGTCTCTCAGGACACGTTTGATTTCAGGACACGTTCAGTTTCAGGACATGTTTCTTTCAGAACACGTCAAGTTTTAGGCCACGTTCGGTTTCAGGACACCTGCATATTGATTGGGTCTAGGCATTTTGTAATGGCTCCGTCCAGACGTTAAAATGAATACACATACAGTAACACCACTAAAATTTATGTCTGCTGGCCAATATGCATTCAATTCCCCCCTCTCTCTCTCCCGCCTGTCTCCAGCGACGCCAGCAGACGTGGGTCTCCTGATGCAGCTGGGGTAGACGGAGTGTTTGTGGGGTCGGGGATATTCAAGAGCAGCGAGCCGGAGAAGAGGGCAAGGGCCATGGTGCAGGCCGTCACCCACTTCAACGATCCTCAGATACTCGCCAAAGTCAGCGCCGGGCTTGGAGAAGCCATGGTAAGTAATTTTACCTCCGTTCCACTACACCATGGGACATAATACAGAGTTTGAAGTTAGGTTTAGGCACAGACCATGTTTTTGCACTGCACACAATCCTGGGCCTTTTGTGTCTATGGGCAAACTCTACATTGCAAGAGTGTGCCGTGACCAACCCACTCTACAGTTGAACCTCTGAACAAGGGACACTATGGGGCCAACGATTTTGTCCCTTGTAGAGAGGTCGTCCCTATCTCTGGGGTCAAATAATACACTAAAGTATTAGCATGGGGTTGAAACAAGTGTCCTTTGTAGAGAGGTCATCCCTATCTCGGAAGGTCCCTTATCGGAGGTTCCACTGTATTGTGTATATGCAGATACAATGCCCCACAATATGTAGTTCCAAACAGTGGTTACTGTCAGTCAATTCCCTGCAGGTTGGGGTGAACTGTGATGATCTAAAGGAGAGATGGGCCACCAGAGAGAAGCAATCTTCCTGATCCCAGCCACCATGTCTCATCTCATTGTACTAGTGTATTATACTGGAGTCCTACGATGTTTTATTTATTGTCTCTTTGGGAACGGTTGTTAGTGAAAACAGGTTTTATTCTGAACTATATAATTAACCCTCGGCGCGCATGCACACCGAGGGTTATAGTACTAAACCATCCTCAGACACCAGCCTCTCACTCTGTGAGGACAGCTACAGATCTTGGTGAGTGATCTTCGCCATCAATGTCTCTCCTCCATTACAGAGTGAAATTTCAATAGGAGAGAGCTCTGAGCATCTCTGGTCAACGGTTCTTTGCCTTGAAATCTAAGTACACCGCTATGTTAGCAGAGGACTACCAATATAGCTGGTAGAGCCACTTCGTCGTCTGGTGTGTCTGCCTCAAAGATAGCTTTACCATTCTCATTGTTTGGTCAAATAAAGCATGTGTACACACACTTGGCAGCTATGCAAGTATAAACAAAAGGACTTTTATAAAAAGAATATTATTATATAGGTTTATATAAAGGAATAATTATGCATAGGTTGTGGAGTGAGGGTGAGAAGTGAAAGGTTAAGACATCACAGTCTCATATGCATCATCAGTTTCTCCTCTCACTACACTGTAGGCCACGTTGCTGGTGGTCTTGAGTGACCCAGGAGGTGCTCTGCAGATGTAAAAAACAACAATGAGAAGTTGAGACGACAGAAATTGTGCACACTACACAGTGTTTGTAGAAACTACCTCTTTAGTCGTGCAGCAAGAGTGGCAGTGTATTCTTCAGCTCTTTGGAGTTTCTTCACGAAAAAGACTATCACCATAGCCTGCACTGCTATAGCAGTCACAATCACCACTGCCAACACACCACCAAGAGCAGCTACAGCTTCTGATGATGATCCACTGCTTTCACATGCAGGAACTGTATATATTGACAAGAATACTTTTAATATCGAACTAAGAAAAAGCTATAACCTGTGAAGGCAATGACAGATTCACTGAAATCGCCCGAGGACGATGTGCGGACGGTAATTGTGACGCTGTAGACAGAGAGTTTCTGGAGGTCAGGTATGGTGTAGCTGGTGGATGTGATGGAGCCACTGACACCTCTGTCTCCAGCAGGGCCACTGATAGCTCGCCACACCACCTCTGAATCCACCACTGTGTCTCCAGACACACGCCACGACAGGGAAATGGAGCTGACTCCCATCATTATCACTTCCACTGTCAAATCTGGTCCTTAATAAAACAATACTTTTCTTGAAGGATAAGCTCATAAAGTTAATGTTATTCTAACCATCTACTTTTCTCTCTCCTCCAGTCAGACCTATTGATTCATATCATTGGGCAATAAAACGAACTAGTTTTTATAATGCTCACCAGGAACTAGAGTGGCAGTTTCCCACTCCACACTCTCACCGGAAATATGTTCTGATGTGCCTACAATTGATATGTCATACATCTCCTCTCTTATAAGACCAGTCAGAGTGTAGCTGTTGGTAGATCCACCACTGACAGTCTCACTACCACTGCTGCCTCCTCCAGTGTATGAGATGGTGTAGCCAGTGGTGTCTCCCAGTGGATCAGGTGGGGTCCAGGTCAGTAGGACACTAGTACCATCACTTTGAACTTCAAACATCAGGTTAGTAGGAGCTGAGGCAACTATAGAACATTGCATTGAGGACGTAGTTAAGGCATGTGGAGACAACCAACCTCTCACAGTCAAGGTTCCAGAGACCACAGATGGTTTATTGTTGCTCACAGTACAGCTGTATAGTCCTCCCAGTCTCACAGTCAGAGTGTGGGTGTACTGTGCAGTCACTGGGTCATTCAACACAGTCTGGGTTCCTTGGGTGACAGTGGTGGAGTCTCTGGTCCAAGTGACAGTGGTAGCAGGTCCACCAGTGGAGATACAGGTGAGGGTACCCTGGTCAGAGTCAAATGTCAATCCTCCAGATATTGAAACATCTCCTGAACAAAGTGCAGCAGAATCCCCATTAGCACAGCAACACAAAACTTTTTTTCCTTCACAGTACTGGCAAGTATATTAACCTTCTGTTCTCATACCTCCACTGGCAGTATACAGTCCCACATAGACTGTGTCTCTCACTGAGATGTCATCATCATCATGGACAGCATTAGTTGGAATATCACAGCGATAGATACCAGTTGGTGATTTAGCATTAGTGTTACGATGTATGTCAACTCTCTGAGGTTCACGGGCCTCAAAGGTATCAACATCAGATGCAGGGATTGGCAGTCTAGTTCCATTAGGGAAATACCAGTCTCCACGATGAGAACCATCACTACCAGTACAACATGTGGTCAAGTCAGTGATACACCGAACACCTTCACCGCCCTCATGAGGTCTCCCCACTTGACTGATGTCCACATAGGAATTGTTGGCCAGAGTCGTGCCGTTGAAGGAGAGACGGGGAAAGCTCTGAGAGTGGACCTCCACCAGAGACCAGAGGAGACTCAACATAAGTAGATGGTTGTACACCATTGTACATTGTTGCCATCGGTCACTGAACATGTATATACATTGTGTCGCTCTCTAAATGTGTTGCACATGCGCAAGTGGATCTATAAGTACGCGCTCTGCTGGTGTGTTGGAATGCACATATTAGGAGATGAAACGATGCCCAGGAAAGTTAACATAACTTGTTAAAACTACAAACAATATTGTTGCTGTTGAGGTGTACAAACTGACATAGTATTTACTAATGTAGCAAAAACAATGTTCAGGGGAGGGCTCTGTGCACAAGCCATGTCCACAGTCACACAGGTTCATATTCTCCAGCAGCAGTAGTAGGGGTAGGTTGTTGAGAGGTGGTGGTGGGAGGAAGGTTTTGTGGTACTTCATAATTATCTTCAGCTGTCCTCCCAGTCCCTCTTACTACATTGTAGGCTTCATTACTGGTGGTCTGGATCTCTGGAGTGAGGCCATCAGTGGTATAGAAATCACCTCACAGTGTTTCATAATATGAGGAGACTTACGCATTATGTTACTGAGATCTTAGAGAGCTCCACTGATTGATTTGTAGCTCCAACTGTAGCTCTATATAAAATCCAATGACATACTTATTATGTCATACTAATATAAGAGTGTATGGTCGTGCCTTGTTTTTGCAGAGTAATTTCCACTGCGACTTCTCAGCACTAGAATCACTACCATTATGACCGTCACCGTCAGTGAAGTAGCGATTATAAGAACTACAGCCACAGCCACTACTCCACCGACAATGGCTGAAGTGTTGTCACATTCATCACATTCACAGCTAGTACTCTCTGCCTGGCAAACATCAGTGGCTGAAACAAACAAAAAGGCAAAGGTTAACTATGAAGCAGCAAACTCTCCATTTACCACCAGTGGAGAAAAGTATGGGAGTGCTGTCAGTGGTTCCAGCTACATTGGTGGCTGATACAGTGAGTGTGTAGATAGTGGAGGAGTCCAACTGGTGGATGGTGTAGGTAGTGCCAGACAGAGGACCACTGGTGCTCTCAGTGCCTCTGTCAGTGGGTCTCCAGACCACCTCCCAATTGGCCATCCTCCCGCTGGACACACTCCAGGAGAGGGAGATGGAGGTGGCTGTTACTGACACAAACACCTGTCCTGGAGCTGGGACTGAAATAAGGGATTACATTTAGATGAACTTTAGGACCCTATCTCTCTCTTACTTAGTGTGATTTCAAATGTGGTGGCATCACTGAAGAGGTGTTCAAATGTGGCTACAATGGATATGGTGTATGTCTGTCCATTGGTGAGACCAGTCAGAGTGTAGCTGTTGTTAGAGCCACCATCAATATCCACATCACTGCCTCCAGCGAAGGATATCCTGTAGCCAGTGGTATCTCCCAGTGGAGAGGGAGGAGTCCAGGTCACTGTGATACTAGTGGGACCATCCTGGACTGCTGTCACATCAGTGGGAGATGGGGAACCTGAAAGTGAGCCAACATTATTACTGAATGACACATTTCAGTAGATACCCTGCAATGTGAAGCTAGCTGATGAAGCAGAAGATGGCTTGTTGTTAGCCACAGTACACGTGTGCTCTCCTCTAGTAGTCACAGTCAGAGTGTGGGTGTACTGTGCAGTCACTGGGTCATTTAAAACCGTCTCGTTTTGCTCTCCAATGATGGCGACATTGTCTCTGGTCCAAGTGACAGTGGTAGCAGGTCCACCAGTAGAGATATAGGTGGTACCCTGGTCAGAGTCAAAAGTCAAACCTCCAGATATTGAAACATCTCCTGAACAAAGTGCAGCAGAATCTCATTTAGCACAGTCACACAAAACTATTTTATTTTTCATGGTACTGGCAAGTATAATTATTAACCTTCTGTTCTCATACCTCCACTGGCAGTATACAGTCCCACATAGACTGTGTCTCTCACTGAGATGTCATCATCATCATAGACAGCAGTAGCTAGTTGGAATATCACAGCGATAGATACCAGTTGGTGAGTTAGCAAACCAGCCTCAGACACCAGCCTCTCTCTCTCTGTGAGGACAGCTACAGATCTTGGTGAGTGATCTTCGCCATCAATGTCTCTCCTCCATTACAGAGTGAAATTTCAATGGGAGAGAGCTCTGAGCATCTCTGGTCAACGGTTCTTTGCCTTGAAATCTAAGTACACCGCCATGTTAGCAGAGGACTAGCAATATAGCTGGTAGAGCCACTTCGTCAGGTGTGTCTGCCTCAAAGATAGCTTTACCATTCTCATTGTTTGGTCAAATAAAGCATGTGTATATACAGCTATGCAAAGTATAAACAAAAGGACTTTTATAAAATGAATTATTATGCATAGGTTGTGGAGTGAGGGTGAAAAGTGAAAGGTTAAGACATCACAGTCTCATATGCATCATCAGTTTCTCCTCTCACTACACTGTGGGCCTTGTTGCTGGTGGTCTTGAATGACTCAGGAGGAGCTCTGCAAATGAGCATAATGTAAAAATAAACAATGAGAAGTTGAGACAACAGAAATTGTGCAAACTACACAGAGTGTTTGTAGAAACTACCTTTTAGTCGTGCAGCAAGAGTAGCAGTGTATTTTTTAGCTCTTTGGAGTTTCTTCATGAAATAGACTATCACCATAGCCTGCACTGCTATAGCAGTCACAATCACCACTCCCAACACACCACCAAGAGGAGCTACAGCTTCTGATCCACTGCTTTCAGATGCAGGAACTGTATATATTGACAAGAATACTTTTAATATCGAACTAAAAAAGCTATAATCTGTGAAGGCAATGACAGATTCACTAAAGTTAATGTTTTTCTAACCATCTTCTTTTCTCTCTCCTCCAGTCAGACCTATTGATTCATAATTATCATTGGGCAATAAAACGAACTAGTTTGTATAATGCTCACCAGGAACTAGAGTGGCAGTTTCCCACTCCACACTCTCACCGGAAATATGTTCTGATGTGCCTACAATTGATATGTCATACATCTCCCCTCTTATAAGACCAGTCAGAGTGTAGTTATTAGTATCTCCACCACTGACAGTCTCACTACCACTGCTGCCTCCTCTGGTGTAGGAAATGGTGTAGCCAGTGGTGTCTCCCAGTGGATCAGGTGGAGTCCAGGTCAGTAGGACACTAGTACCATCACTTTGAACCTCAAACATCAGGTTAGTAGGAGCTGCAGCAACTATAGAGCATTGTACACAAACAATTTAGGATGTAGTTATAAGGCATGTGGAGGCAACCAACCTCTCACTGTCAATGTTTGAGAGACTACAGATGGTTTATTGTTGCTCACAATACAGCTGTATAGTCCTCCCAGTCTCACAGTCAGAGTGTGGGTGTACTGTGCAGTCACTGGGTCATTCAACACAGTCTGGGTTCCTTGGGTGACAGTGGTGGAGTCTCTGGTCCAAGTGACAGTGGTAGCAGGTCCACCAGCGGAGATACAGGTGAGGGTACCCTGGTCAGAGTCAATTGTCAAACCTCCAATTATTGAAACATCTCCTGAACAAAGTGCAGCAGAATCTCATTTAGCACAGTCACACAAAACTATTTTATTTTTCATGGTACTGGCAAGTATATTAACCCTCTGTTCTCATACCTCCACTGGCAGTATACAGTCCCACATAGACTGTGTCTCTCACTGAGATGTTAGTAGCATGATGGACAGCACCAGTTGGAATATCACAGCGATAGATACCAGTTGGTGAGTTAGCATCACTGTTACGACGTACGTCAACTCCCTCAGATACACGGACCTCAAAGGTATCAATACCAGATGCAGGGAAAGGCAGTCTAGTTCCATCAGGGAAATACCAGTCTCCACGATGAGAACCATCGCTACCAGTACAACATGTGGTCAAGTCAGTGATACACCGAACACCTTCACCGCCATCATCAGGTCTCCCCACTTGACCGAGGTCCACATAGGAATGGTTGGCCAGAGTCTGGCCCATGAAGGAGAGATGGGGAAAGGTCTGAGAGTGGACCTCCACCAGAGGCCAGAGGAGACTCAACATAAGTAGATAATACATCATCGGGCACGTTGTGTCGATCACTAATGTGTTGCACATGCGCAAGCGAATCTATTACGAGCTCCGCTGGTGGGTTAGAATGCACAAACCCTTGGCGCAGAAAGGACTTGGTCTGTCTGTCCGTTTGTTTTTGTCCGTCTGTTACCACGACCATGACGCGCAACAAGCCGGCCAAAAATCAACACTAAACGGGTTCAGCGCTACATACACTGGTAACTGGCGATTTTGCTGCGCGGCGTTCATGGCGTCATGGACCTACCCGACTGGGTCCGCTCGCTCTGTGTATCTTGAAGGCACAAGAAAGGCCGTGTATCGACTCTCGCATGCTATCTACTGCTGTCGCTAGCCCGTGTTACACTCTCTGCGAGCTATTAGCGTGGAGACGACGAGTAACGAGTACTAATAGCCCAGCCCATCAATTAGCGGTACCGCTCATGCGCAGTTCGCCGAGGGTTTGCACTTTCATTTCCAGTGAAACTATACAGTGATTTTCTGAAAACTTATGATTGTGTCGAAGAACAGTTTCTTTTGCTAAGAGTTCTGACTTCATCCACTCTGTTCTTATGTACCTGTGGAGAAGGGAGGCAAAGGGATTGTGTACTGGGCATATCCACAGACTGCAATGGAAATTGGGGGAAGGAGAGAAGGGAGATAGAAAAGAGAGAGTTGGGAGAGATAGAGGAGAGGGAGGGGCTCACCTGAAATGCAGGAGTCAGCCATCGTCCACATGAACATTGCTGTCCTTTCCAACTGAATGACCCCAGACGACAGTTGCACTTGGGACAGAGGATCTGCACACACACATAATCAGTAATATTGGCGAGCGAAGTGAGTCCGCCTAGTGGTCCAAAGTGAAATGTTTATATATGTGTACAGGCACTTCCACATCTACACACGAAATTACTGTGAAACACACGAAAAATGAACTGCCCGCTTACTTCAAAGCCTCGTTTGCTTCAAGTCATGCGGAGCTTCAACACAACAAAGTGAGAAATGACCTTGCCTTCCAGGTGACCCAGGAGAGCATCCCCCATCCACGCCACTGGCTCAATGAAGTAAGAAGTGCAGTTTGGGGAGAGAGAAAAGGAGTGCGCTGCTCGCTGAGCAAGTAGAGTGCCGACCTCCCTCCTCATAGCTGATGCCTCCGTCTCCGTGGGGAGTAATGAGGGGTGTGGTCCCACGGAGCTCCATGGATACCAGCTGCCGGCAGTCTGGGTTACCTCCCAATACGACGTCTTCTGACAAACCGTCTTCTTCTCTCTTTGCCCTCTCACAGGTACCTCCATCTGACCAACCCAGCTCTCTGGGGGCTTTCTGGACACACTCTATCTCCTCTTGACTTCCAATTTCTGTCGCTAGTTGAAGCTCCACTGTCTCATCTTTTAGTTCCACCGTTGCTCTCTGCTTCTCTTCCGCCTCCTCAATCACTGCTTCTTTCTTCATTTCTGGTAGTTTGTCAACTGTTGTCAGAAGCTCTCCTTCCTTCTCTTTGGCCTCCAGTTTGCCGGACATCACCAGAACACCCTCACCGTGGTACTGAGTTAGAAATATTATATCTGGTAGATGGATTATACACAGGCCAAGAGGGAGCGAGAAAGAACTAAACTTCTGTCTGGAGTCAAACTCAGGCATCATGACTGAAAGTCAGTGGTTATTTCCTCATCTTAATTGGTATTGGGATTACATCATTACTATTCCAGGGCACCACACACAGAGCTATAAACAACTCCTAGTCAGTCCTAGACAAAGGTCGGTCTTCCACATACCCTCCAAGTACTACTACTGACTTTAGTTAATGGGCATATATTGGGATTACATCATTACTATTCCAGGGCACCACACACAGAGCTATAACAACTCCTAGTCAGTCCTAGACAAAGGTCGGTCTTCCACATACCCTCCAAGTACTACTACTGACTTTAGTTAATGGGCATATATTGGGATTACATCATTACTATTCCAGGGCACCACACACAGAGCTATAAACAACTCCTAGTCAGTCCTAGACAAAGGTCGGTCTTCCACATACCCTCCAAGTACTACTACTGACTTTAGTTAATGGGCATATATTGGGATTACATCATTACTATTCCAGGGCACCACACACAGAGCTATAAACAACTCCTAGTCAGTCCTAGACAAAGGTCGGTCTTCCACATACCCTCCAAGTACTACTACTGACTTTAGTTAATGGGAATATATTGGGATTACATCATTACTATTCCAGGGCACCACCCACTGAGCTATAAACAACTCCCAGACAAAAGTCGGTCTTCCCCATACCCTCCAAGTACGACTACTGACTTTGCTCCTGTCGCTCTTCCCCCTGTGTCGATGGCCGAATGACTCTCTCCCCTCCCCCAGCGCGTGTTGGAGAACGTCGCCGTCCGTGAAGAGAAGTTGTCGACACTTGCGGCAGCGGAAGTAGAGTGCTGCGTCCACAGGGGAGACGGCTGGGTCGGGCGCCATCTCTACCACCGCCACGCTTCCTGATGCTGACACACACAGAGAGAGAGAGAGCATAGACGTGTGTATGTGAAAGGTGCCCAGTAAACTTGAGGATTGAGATAGCGTGCATTAGTGAGTATTACATGGGAGTCCTTCAACTGAAGTGACTTGAAAAGTGTCTCAAAATCTGGTGGAACCTCCGAACTAGGGACACTATGGGGCCGACGATTTTGTCCCCTGTAGAGAGGTCGTCCCTATCTCGGAGGTCAAATAATACACTAAAGTATAGGCATGGGGTTGAAACAAGTGTCCTCTGTAGAGAGGTCGCCCCTATCTCGGAGGGTCTCTTATCGGAGGTTCTACTGTACATAGAGATAGACACAACCATCGTACAGACTTTTAAGAGAGAGAAGATGCCACTCATCAAGGGGTTGCATATACTCAGTAAACCCGAGATTGAGTAATTCATTCACGAGCAACTGCTAAGGGCCATCGGTTGTAGTGGAACAAGAAGCACCTCACAATGGGAATGTGACAGTTGGTGAGGGAGGGTATACCTTCTATCTCCCGGGCCTTGCACTGGAGGCGATAAGCTCTGTACTTCTTGTTGTCGTCCTTCACGCGGCACCCCATGTCCTCCCAGAGCCTCAGCTGGTCCATGAACCCCGAGTTTGGCCTGTGGTGGTCCACGTGGGAGTGTGAACAGGAAATGGGAGTATAGCCATCCAGTTTTGGCAACAAAAACAGAAAAACGAGACCTTACATCACAACATTGAAAGTGACCCTTATTCAGAGTGTCCTATACTCGGATGTAGTACACTAATGTATTAGTACGAACCAAGTGTCCCCCTTTTTTTAGAGAGTTGTTGGTTTTACTGTATAACTTTCCCGATTTAACGAGAGAGAGAGAGAAAAGAGAGAGAAGAGAAAGGGAGGAGAGTGTGCAGGACCTGATTTCTGGTTTTCTTTCCTTCAGCTCCTGATAGAGAATTCTGAGGGACCTTCTCTCAGTCCACATCAGGTAGGCCAGAACCACCGTCACACTTCGAGATACTCCGTGTTCACTAATGGAGGAAGAGGAGGAGGAGAGATGAAGATAGTACGAGAGAGTTTAGCAGTGGAGCTAACCAGTGGACCAGCACAGTGCCTCTCTCTCTGCCATCCCTGATGAAATGACAACACTCCTCGAAATGGTGGAGGAGGTCGCTCTTTGGCATGTCGGCAACCTCGATAAACTTCCTCCACTTGGGCAGCTCCACTTGTCTCTGTCCCTTCTTCCTTCTCCCTCTCTGTCGTCCTCTACCAGATCTTGTTGCTTCACTCACCATCTTTTTCCTCCTCCTCTTCTGCCGTTTCTGGTTTGTTGATTTGGAACTACTATTACAGATGCACTAAAAATGTCCCTAGCTATATACACCTCCAGTTTTACTAGTAACTAACTTCTCCACCAAATAGTTGTTTGCCCAACCTGCAGTGGATTTTTCTTGCTAATCTTCTCCTCCTCGTCCACATCCTTCAATTCGCTGTCGCTCTCCTCCACTCTCGTCCTGATCCGGAGGAGCCAGCTGGTTATCAATCCATTCTGGGGATGGTTGCACAGAGAGAGCACGTGGGTCACGTGATAGCGGGCCACGAGGCTCGGAACTCGGGTGAACACGGCCAGCGCGTCTCCCATGCTGCCCAGCAGCAGACCTGGACGAACTTCCAGCATCTTCTCTAACCGATGTACTAGTAGTGCGCGCTAATTAGAGATGCACGAGCCCCACCCACAAAATCGCACGTGGGTCTCTTCTCACGCATGCGCATACGTTTCAGGTAATTAGTATCAAAAATCATCAACTAGATTTTCTTCTGAGCCTCTTCCTGCTCGAAACAAAACGGAGGAATGAAAAACAAAGTTCTGAAAGACGAGAGAACAGACTTTGTCTCCTGTCGGACTGAGGTGTACTCAAACCACATGTAGTTGGGGATCCTGGACATGTCCTTGAGCAGAAGTAGCTCCGATATCTTCCTGCATGGGTTTGTATGTATGGACACAATAGAGGTCTGCATCATATATACTGTATGGACACACGCTAGGAGAGGCACTGACCACTGGTATATCTGGGAGAAGTACGGCTCGCAGAAAACCTGAGATGTGGAATAAAATTGTACAAGTGTAAACTCAGAATAGTGGACACCTCTATTAGTGTTCTTTATTGAGTGGCTTCCCTTTATCAGAGGTTTATGTATTAGTCCTATACTCGGAGGTACTAATGTATTAGTCCTATACTCGGAGGTACTAATGTATTAGTCCTATACTCGGAGGTACAATGTATTAGTCCTATACTCGGAGGTACAATGTATTAGTCCTATACTCGGAGGTACAATGTATTAGTCCTATACTCGGAGGTACAATGTATTAGTCCTATACTCGGAGGTACTAATGTATTAGTCCTATACTCGGAGGTACTAATGTATTAGTCCTATACTCGGAGGCACTAATGTATTAGTATGAGGCAAAACCAAGTGTCCTTCAGAGAGAGGTGTCCTTCTTCATAGGGTCCTTTGGTAGAGGTTTGACTGTACATCATAAATCTCTCACACACGCACACACACACACACACTGCCATACCTGCACTACAGTGAACCAAAGTACTGCAACGCCTGCTCCCAATACAACTCCATACAGTACCTGTGCCATACTGTGGTACCCCAAGTAGATCCTGCAGCATGGAGAGAGACGGTATTATACCATTTAGCCTCCCTATATAGCAAGAGCTGCCAAGAGTTGCACCCAAGATTGTCTCTTCAGTAAGTAATCCATTAGGAGATGCATGAATCACAGGCTCTCAACCCAAGCACATAAGATAGTCAACACCACCCAACACCAACTTTATATATAAACTTAAATGTATTCTTCCACTGGTTTGTTAAGTATGTGAAAATTCGTGCATTCGAAAGCTTTGCTCAACTATTGTGTTAACCTGCTGGCACAGCAGAGGACAGACGAACAGACTGCCACTCCCGTACAAAATGTCTTCCATACGTAGTCAAGGGATCCTACGGACAGCATCGTTCTGTGAAAAACCACAAGAAATTGTTAGTTTTTAGTAATTGCAGAGCACACACTAACTTGACGAAGATGAAGAGAGAGAAATAGGTCGCAAACCATCCCATAAACTGGGCGTGGCTCGACGGCATTCCATACTTTCCAAACAGTGGTCGTGGGTTCATGGCTGAATGGAGGAATAAGTGATGTAATGATGACGTAATGGATTTTGTAGTAAACAACCGTTGATTGGTCTGGGTTCTTGAATGAGGTTTTTGAGAATGAAATTGACTCCTTCGTTAGCAACCAGCCCTCCCGTAAAGAACATCTGCCAAGGGAAACAAGCACAGGAGACTAAAGGAGCGCGATTATTGTCGGTCTAATATATGCACCGTCTGCAGGTCACGGCGGACTAGGATGAGCGTGCAGAGACCCACGAGGATGAAGACTGGTAGGATGCTGAACCAGGCCAGCACAAACCCCACCACATCCCCTGCAGATAATATATAGACCAGCGGGGAGACTGACTTTCGTCCAAATTGTGCAGGGTTGCAGGTACGAATACGAGAATACGCTGTAGAGGAGTCCAGTGGAGGGATACCTTCTTCATAGAGGACGTGGGTTAGGGTGATAGGGACGTACCTCGCTGCCTCCTCTTCTCCCGGCGCCATTTTTAGAGTGGGTTGACCTTTGAACCCGGACACGCGCGCAGCGGTGCGGTCCCGGTTCCGATCTGCTGACTACTGGTGCGCGATTCGAGACCCGTTCTGCAGCCGCGGGGAAGAAGGGGGCGGGGTCGCATAGAGCAGTTTCTGTTGCTCTGTGCTATGGAGGAGCGTTCTGCGGGACCAGGCAACGACTCATTCACGAAGAAAGGTGCAGTCTATAATACGCGCTACGTTTGGCCGATTATAACTCTATGTTTCGGCTGCAGTTCCCCAGAACACCGCTTTAGGGGGCCCGGGGCAGTTACTGGGAAGGAGAAAAGGGGAAGGAGCGAGGCCCAGAGCACGCACAGTCTCCGCCACATCACGCCGAGAGACCCTATCACTAGCTGTGTGTCCTCAAACTCAGAGATAACTGAATGACTCATGCACTCGACTACAGGTGTGTGGAGTAGGACCCAGCAGGGGACTGGAGCTGTGTGCCTCGTCCAGACCCACCAGTGAAACCTGGGAGAGATCACGTGATGGTCACGTGACCCAGCTCCAGAGCTCCACGTCCCTCCCGAGTGTGGGTTTTCTAAGGAGTGCCCGACTCTATCCACTTGGAGTAGTGGACACCCCTCAACTGCAACCTCAACAGTTCCTTGGCATTGTATCAAGTGAGGCCGCCTCTTTACATAATATACCACTGTATGAGTCCATCTCGTGTGGTAGATTCTAGAAGTAAAGGTGAGCAGAGGAGACCTGTTTCTTGGGTTGGGACAAGAACTCAAGCAGAGCGGAGGAACAAGGACTCGGAGTTGGCTGATTGTGACGTGGAAAGAGAGAGAAACAGGCACTCTTTCTCTGGAGATTCAAACTGTCTCCAGCGTAGATCGCGGCTGATTTCTTTACCAAGGAACACTGCATTAGTCCCTACAGCCTCCATGTCAGTGGAACCAACAAGAGCAAAGAAGCAGACGAGTGTTTTGTCGGGGAAATCGCGGACACTTTTTCCACTTGTCCGGCAAAAATCAGCTCATGCAAACGCCGGTCAGGAGATTAGAGTTGAAGTTAGGAGCTCTAGAGATTCAGAGTATGGGAACAGTCTAAAGTCTACTGGTGACAAAACTGTAGCTGGGAGTGTACTGTCGGCAACCTTGCCCGATCTTCCATCCAACACAGCCGCGCCTGATACGCAATCACTGACGACACCTCAACAGCCAAAAGCTGAGAGAAAACAAATGAGCATCGTGTCGGTAGGATCCACTGGAGCCACGGCTGCAGGCAAAGCCGGGCAACAAAGGCTAAGTCGCTGGAGAAGAAAAGCCTCTCCCGGCAGACGAGGGGCCACACTCAGTCTTGGCTGGACGCAGGGGAAACCACTTGGACCGCTCACTGTCCACCCTGTCTATAGAGACGCGGAGAAGACGAGGTCACGGAGAAGAAGCGGAGAGTTTTCGGAGCTGAAAGAGGTTAAGACGTCGCTGGGGAGTGGTGGCGAGGCAGTGGTGTCAAAGGACTGTATCGTGATCGATGTTCAGGAATATTTAGCCAATTATTAGCGGAATAGCTAGTCATTCATCGCCATGTGTAGAGTGTGGTTTTCAAAATCACAGAAAAGACTAACATGAAATGTATGATATGAAATTTCCATTATGAAGCGGTTCCTAAAGTCCTCAGTCTTTCTTCCTTGCGTTTTGTAACTGGATAAAACTCCGTCTCCCACTTTTCAAGTTCAGGCTATGAACTGAACTTTTCTTTCATCATTTCGGCATATTTCTTCGGGTCCTTTCGCATGATCTTCAACTCCTCGTTCATCTGGAGGAGCTCCTCGAGCCGCGCCAGCTTCCGCGGGTCCTTTCTCACCAGAAACTCTATGTCTTTTTCGGTGATCTTCCCCGACCTGCCCACCTCCACAGCTCTCAGGGTCATCTCCGTTATAAAGTCTACCACAAGTTCCTCTATTAGGTCCACTGTCTCCTCATACGGACTGGAGTCGTCCCCAAAGCCGTGCATCATATACTTCAACTCTCTACGCAGAGGAATTAACGGAGTGTTTCAAAAGCTACTGGCAATAATGGTGTCCATTGTACCTGTGGAAGATCCTCTTTCTTTTCTTGGTGGGTGGCGTCTCGGAGCTAGCTGCCGTCTGGCTGGACGACAGAGGAAAGGGAGAAGGACTCCTCTGCACACTCTGGACAATCTGCGACGCTGCAACGGACACCAAATCGGTCGTACCACCTTCCGCCATCTTACCTTCCAGTAGCGCTTATTCCAAATGATGCCCACCAACAGTGTGACGTCACATTCGGCGGGAAGCAAGGGAAGCTACGTGGCCGTGTGTCTTCTTCTCGGCCCTGTGGGTTTGTTTAACCCGGGACCCCACTCTACGGCTCCACTAGACATGGTTTCCATAGCAGAAGACCAAAGCCTGCCCGTGGACTTCAACGGAACGTAAGTACGCGGACAGAATACGCAACTCCGCGCATAAGCTTTGCGGATCATCACGCCTTGCGATATAAGGACTTCGTTGCTGTTGTTTCTCCCTCTTAGTTCGCTTCAGTTGAGTAGCGGGATGATGGACTCGACGCTGCACGACCCCGCCTCTCTGTCGAACAGCAGCAGCGCTGATATGGAGACACCAGGTGCCGTTATACAGTGTGTGATTTGTGTATATAGTATGATCATGACTCTCACACACATGTGAAGGCATGCATCCAACGTTGAACAGTGTTGGAGGAATCTCTCCACATCGCGTGATGACCATGAAAGACCAAGAACTGGTTAGCCTTTTTGATTGCAGGGTCACCTTACACCATTCTTTGCTCCTTATAGTAGTCTGGCGTAGCCTGCCTATTTCACGTGTGTGGAAGTGTATGCCATTTGTTTGTTGGTCAAACTCCATTGGTTTTTTGTAGCGTCTAAATTTGTCCGCCATTTGGAGATAGCCGTTATGTGGACACACGCACACACACACGTGCGTACACAGCAACTATCGGAGCTAAGAAAAGATAATTTCGGCCTGAAGCTGAGGATATACCACCTGGAGGAGGCCCTCAACACCAAGTGGGGGGAGAGGAGTGAAGGATGGCAGCTGGTAAGTCTCACCCTTCCTCTCTTTTCTCCCAATAACTCTCTCTCTCTCTCTCCCCCCCCTCTCTCTCCCGGTGTGTAAAGAACATTGACCTTAAAGTTCAAATGGAAAACCTCAAGAAGGAGCTGTCAGAGAAAGAGGAACTTATCTTGCAAGCCAGGTAAGAGAGAGAGACAGGAATAAAGAGGAAGAGAGTGATTTATTCTTCATTTCCGTCGCAGGAGTGCCTTCAAAGCCATGGCTGCCAAACATGCCCAGGAGCTTAACGAGGTAATGCTCGCACCAATTTGTGCTAATAAACGGCTCATATCTGTTTCGCCGGCCGTCTGTTTGGTTTTTCCAGCTGCGACAGGCGGTGAGACCAGCAGGTGACCTGCACGCAATGGAGGAGAGACTCGAGGACAAGGACGCAGTAAGAGAATCCCCCCTCTCTCCTTTCTCCCCTGTTCCTCCTCTCTCTCTCTCTCTCTCCAGTTTTTGAGGCAGTAAGAATTCTCTTCTCCCCTCCCTCCCCCTCTCTCCTCTCCACCCTCATTCTACACCATCTCGCTCTCTCCTCTTTCTGTTTCTTCTATCTCCTTATTTCTCCCACTTCGTCTTGTTGCTTGTTTGCCAACCCTGCATTCCTTACAAAGCAGTGTCTTTTGTCAACAACACAGCACTCCTTTCTAAGCCCCCTACTGTGTACACAAACACATACTGCTCATGTGACCAACATGTGACTGTCACGTGACTGCTTTCCTCCATATAAAGGAGCTGGAGGAGGCCCAGCAGCAGACAGAAGAGGCACTTGCTAGAGCTGTGAGTTCAGTCTTAGAATCAATGGGAGTGTATACAGTAGTACGGTTGATATAATAGTGGTACTGCATACTGAGTGTTTGTAGTGCTGACTTCGGTAGACCTCTCTTTAGGTACGTATGTAGTGAGTTTATTTCTCTATAGCGTTGGCTTTGGTAGCAGCTCTCTTTACCATTGGTACAGTGGTACCCCACATTAGGTACGTATGTAGTGAGTTTAGCGTTGGCTTTGGTAGCAGCTCTCTTTACCATTGGTAATACGTGGTGAAGCCACATTAGTGCGTATGTAGTGATATTTAGCGTGTGGCTGTTTGGTGCAGCCTTTACTGTAAGTGGTGGTTGTGTGGGGTGTGTTACCCCACATTAGGTACGTATGTAGTGAGTTTAGCGTTGGCTTTGGTAGCAGCTCTCTTTACCATTGGTATATACAGTGGTACCCCACATTAGGTACGTATGTAGTGAGTTTAGCGTTGGCCAGTAGTACTGTAAGTGGTGGTTGTGTGTGTGTGTGTGTGTGTTGGTGAGGACCCAGTAGTACTGTAAGTGGTGGCTGTGTGTGTGTCTGTTGCAGGAAGAGATGCAGCGAGCCAACGAACAGCTGGAGGAAGAGTTGAAACAAAAGGATAGTGAAATGGAAGACATGCAGAGGTATATACAGTACAAATGTATGCCAAAAGGAGAGATAAATGTATATCAGAAATAAGAATGAGCAGTAGTGGTATGCAGTACATGATAGTACTTGTATAGTACATAGCTGTATAGTAGAGAGAGAGAGAGGGAGGGAGAGGGAGGAGGGAGAGAGAGACTCGACTTGTTCCTCTTGTGTCCTGTAGGGAGCTGGAAGGCATGAGAAAAGACATTGCAGACCAGAGAGCTGCTATACCGGTACGTTGTACATTCATACATTCTGCGTGTGAGTGGAGAATTCTGAGTTGCTGCTCTCTGCGTGTGAGTGGAGCATTCTGAGTTGCTGCTCTCTGCGTGTGAGTGGAGCATTCTGAGTTGCTGCTCTCTGCGTGTGAGTGGAGCATTCTGAGTTGCTGCTCTCTGCGTGTGAGTGGAGCATTCTGAGTTGCTGCTCTCTGCGTGTGCAGACGCCGGTGGCCACCCACAACGCCAAGGTCCAGACCCTGGAGCCAGTTGTGGGGAGATCCGAGGCCGAGCGACTGCAGAGCCAACTGGCCGACGCCGGAGCCAGACTGAGAGAGAAAGAGAGGGAGATTGTGGTCAGTTCATCCCAACATAGTAGCTACCGTATATTTCCAATGTTTGGAGTGTTGTTTTCGAAGTTTTATTGAAGCTGTTTTCGTACATGTTGTACGAGCAACAAATAGCCCCAGGCACTTTCTTTGAAGTTCCTTCTTCACTCCTCAAACTTGCAAAGGAGTAATTTTAAAGAAAAGTCTCATTCATGTGGCGTTCTTTTGGTAAATTCTGTTATTACGTACTCAATCCCACCTCACTGGATTGCCACAAAGGAAATTTGGTAGTATATAAGGGCTAAATTGTTTCTGAAAAAAGACACTTAATTGCACCGGGCCCTATTGATCATTTACTAATTTAGACCTGATGCATTGTCACGTTAGAAAATTATGCGTTTTGAGAATGTGTTCCCCTATGGTTGCAGGAGCTGCGTGGTGAGGTGGGAGAGAGAGGGGGTCGCGTGAAGGAACTGGAGGTGGAGCTCCTGACAGCCAGTCAGAGACTGGCGGCTGGGGCAGGCGTCCACGCCCACCAGATGTCAGACCAGGCCGCCCAGCTCGACCGATGTAAGGTACGGATTTGAGGCAATTGACGTAAACCAGGATGCACAATTTCTTGAGAACTAAGTTGTCGAAAAGCAACAGTTAGCATTTTGGCTTTATGTGTTTAAGACTTTAGTTTAAGGGGAGAGGGCAAGCACCGAGAGGCTGAACTCTGAATTAAGGAGGGTATACTGTTTTAAAACATCAAAGGGAAGGGAAAGGTCATTTGAATGGTTTTTATTTCCCAAAACTGTTTGATCCGTTCAGGCTGAGCTGCGAGAGGCGGAAGGAGAGGTGAGGAGGCAGGGGGCGGAGCTGCGAGAGAGGGAGAGGGAGTGTGGGGAGAGGGAGAGAGAGGCAGAGGACGCCCGGAGGAGGGCCAGGGAGGCAGAGGAGAGAGCCGAGAGTCTGGAACCTCGAGTCAGAGCTGCCGAGAGAGAATCCAAGGTGAGAGCACCTTTTATCGTTCTCAGACAAACTCGGCAATGTCTTGTATTTTGTGAAAGTATAGTTAAGGGAATGTGGCAGTATATAAGGGCTAAATACAAAAAAACGGACATTTTTTCACTGGACCCCATTGTTTAGTGGTAATTAGAGTCTGAAGTTCAAACTAGGCAGCCATCTCACTCTAACAGAAGCTCTGCTCCATTATATTATGAGGAATGTTGTATCAATGCCATTATGAATGGTGTCGTATGAACTTCTTTCTGCCCTCCACTCGCTGTGCAGGACCTGCGAAGACAGCTGAAAGAAGCCCAGACCCAGGCAGAGGAGGAGGCAGGGAGGAGAGCCAGGGACACCAGAGTGAGTCCTCTAGCCTATACCTCTCTCTCTCTCTTGCTCTCTGGGCCTTGTGACGACCATGTGGTGTTCCGCAGGATATGGAGGAGAGGTTGAGAGAGGCAGAGGAGAGACTGGGGAGGAGTCGGCCGGAAATGGCCGCCAGAGAGAGAGAACTGGAGGTTAGAACATCATTCTATGTCTACTCTATAGTGTATGTGATTGTAATGGCTCTGTCCATATAATATGCAGGCTCCAGACTTATAGGCTTGCTGTATATACATTTAGACTTTACACACTGGCTCTATCTTCCATACAGGACATGGCCAGAACTCTTCGACAGAAGGAGGAAGAGGTATGTACATATAATATACAGCACAATATTGCTGAGTTTTATATGTGTTACGATGCATGTTTTGTTGGCTGTTATGATGCATGTTTTGTTGGCTGGTTAATTGCGTTACAGATATCGGAGCTGCGGTCTCGACTGGTGGAGAAGGATGGGGAGGTGACGCGGGCCAGACAGGCGGCTCACGCGGCCGGCATGGAGCGACAGGAGCAGGCCAGAGCCATCGGGGAGCTCCGTGGGGAGCTGGGGGCTCTGAGGGACCAGCTGCAACAGAAACAAGCCAGCGTCCAGGTCTGGCCCCTACCCTCCAACTTCTTACCTTCTTTGTGTGTGTGTGATTTAGTCTGTATATACCCGATCTTTTTCTGTCTGTCTGAGCAGCAGTCAACTGCAGCGGCTCTGGCTGCCAAAGATGCTGTCATTGGCCAACTCCAGAGAGAGCTGCAAGACCTGAGGGCTAAACTGGCTGTTAGTAACCTCCTTCTCCCTCTTTCTTCTCTCTCCCACTTCTCTCTCTCTTTCTCTCTCTCATGTCAGTGAGGTACGTATTATTTCTTTAGGAGGCTGACAATCAACTCCTACAGGTCACTACCAGTAAAGCTGCTGAACTGGTTAGTCAAGTAGGACCACCCATTAGCCTACATTAGCAATAGAGCGAACTCCATCAGCATAGATACATACAGGGTTAATACATACGTAGGTGTATAGGACTATGAGAGAGAGTTGTGTTCCCTACAGGGAGTGATGCAAGGTATGGTGGATGATCTTACTCAGCAAGTGGAGCAACTGGAAGGTACGTATTAAATTTATGAACACCTATTTCTGTCACTATTTGGGTATGTCTATTTATAACCAGTCTTTTGATCAGTCTTTAAGTTCGTGTGCGTAAACAGCTTTGTGACCAAAGTTTTCTGTTGCTAATGCGTATAATATAGCTGCTATTGAACTGGTGTATATATTATGTGTACACAGGTCAGTGCAACGGTCTGAAGAAAGAGGTGGGCCGACTGAAAGGAGAGAGGGCAGCTCTCCAGAGGGAACTTGATAAACTCAGAGCTCAGGTATATACACATACTGATCCCTAACTCACTGCCATACCTGCTTTGATAAGTCACAGCTATATACACCAATTTTAGTCAACTCTGCTTTATATCTGAAAGATGCTCTAGACTCTTCACAAAATGAACTTTTTTGAGCGTATGTTATGGACTATGGTTCTTACGCTGTGGTAAAGGGGCGTAAATAGAGAAAATGAGAGAAAGCCAGTGCAGTGTATTCCCGTGTTTGTTCTCAGAGTGATGGAGGCAGGGAGCAGTTGGCTGAGGCTGAGGCCGAGTTGGCTGCCAAGGCAGAAGAGCTTGATGCTGCACAGTGAGTAGAGAAGACCACCATTTGGTAGTTACACCTCTCCTCTCCTCTCTCTCCTCTCCTCTCTCCTCTCTCTCTCTCTCTCTCTCTCCCGAGTGTAGTCGTGCAGTGGCTGACCTCCAGGGGCTAGTTGAACAACTGCAGAACGCTCAGCCGTCTAGAGATCAGCTGGAGAGAGACGCTGCAGAAAAGGTCTGGATATTTTCACCTCCGTCTGTCCCTTACTCCTTCCCAACTCTCTCAGACTAGGGATGCTATCGAGATTTAAACGTATTAGACACCGGGAAACGAACCAATAATCGATAAATAATATTGGATCCATTATAGGATATCAAGTAGTCGATGACCAAAAAACATTACAAAACCGGAATTGAGAATCGAAAAACAGGAATCGAGAATCGGGAATCGCAACGAGGACTATATTTTTGTTGCATTTGGCCTTCCCACATGTTGACGATAGTTGATATGTGTATATGTGTGAGGACAGAGTTGATGATTGATTGATTGAGGCAGCAAGTCCTACCCTCCTCTCCCTCCTAGGCCCAGTTGAAGTCCCAGCTGGGATCTCTGCGAGGTGCCCTGGCCAACAAAGACGTCGAGACTCAGCGACTGAGGCAGCTTCCCTCTGCGCTGGCAAGGACACGACCCTCGAGGGAGCTACAGGAGCAGCTGGCCGCTGTACTGAGCAGGGAGGGAGTGGAGAGCGCCTGAGAGATGCTGCGCCTCCACGAAGGAGAAGAGTCGCTACTGCGATGCGTAATGTGTGAGGAGCAGAGACGTGAACAACATCCACTAACACTCTCAACTGTGGTTCGGTCATTACGACGGTATTATGTGTATCTTTTTTACATGCGTGGCGTACGACATATGACATGTACCAATACACTCTGACGTGGATGCTACTGCAGCACTCACCACCACGTTTCCTTATCGGGGATTCCGCTCACATTCTCAGGCACAGGAAACTGGCTGGTATAAAGCTGGTTTATGCATGTCTACTTGTCTCGCGTAGCAGACGCAGTTTTGGGGACTACGCACACAGTTGAGTATTCTGAAACTGTTGTGTCGTCTGTCTTTTCTCCTTCGCGACTGAGAGAAAAAGAGTAGTTGGTTCTCCCTTATTGTACGTAACAATGCATTACTACCTCTAACGTGAGGGATGGGCAACAATCGCCAAAGTGGGTACGATGGGATATATTATAGTGTTGCTATTCCACAGTCTAACTGTATTAGATTGGGGGATTGCTGTTTGTCGTTTTTTTCATTCGCAAAGGCGAGATAGGAATAGGGGGAGATAGCTGAAATGTGAGTGAGCACGAGCACAATTAACCGAGAGAAGGATAGGGAGGTTGCGCGGACTAGGGTAGTGAACAGAACGAGGGTTAAAAAAAGTGTGTGTATTTTGTACAGCTCATTCTCGGACAGGATGAGTGACGGGCGCTGCAGTCCCAGGGTCGTGTGGCGCAGCTGTCAGCGGAGGACCTGCAGGCCCGACTGACTGAGGCTTACCGCGAGAGAGAGGAGCTGGCCAGGAAACTGAGGGAGGCAGAGGAGGCTGGGAACAAGGTGTGTACATATCTCTATCTTCCTTTCTTTCCATGTTGAGTACTGTGTAGTAATGTTCAAGGATGGATGCCAAGCTGGCGGTGCAAATATGTCGAAAACAGTGCGGAACAAACGACATGCATACGATCGACTGACAGTTAGAATCATAATCCGAACACAAACTGAACAGTCAGATTGTTTTAAATGTGCCTGGTTTGCAAAACGTAGTTGGAACTTCTGAATAAGGGGCACCTTGGGGACATTGAAAGTGTACTTTATTCAGAGGTGTTTTAGAGGTACATACAAAATACTCTAATGTATTTGTACGGGCAGAGTCAAGTGTCCTTTATAGAGAGGTGTCCTTTTCCAGAGGTTTAAATGCAGTACATAAGGCAGTGGTGTTCATGTTTGTTCATTCGGAGGTAGTATATTACACTAATGTATTAGAATGGAAGTGTCCTTTATTCGGAGGTGTCCTTGTCCAGAGGTTTAACTGTATTGTGATGTGCAGGACACGGCCTACGAGAGGGCCAGAAAGGCTTGCGAGGCTCTGCAGAGGCAGGTGGCGCAGCTGCAGGAGCAGGTGAGGCAGCTCAGCCGGCGAGCCGACACTGTCTCGGTGGGCGTGTCCACGTCATCGCCGGGGCGACAGGACAGCGGGATGATGGCGGGTGGAGTCGACGAGAGTGTGGGGACTTCCCCTCCACAGCAGGTGAGAGAGAAAAAGCGAGGTGTGTGTGGGGGGATTACCAATAGCATGAGAGGCTTAAATTTTAGTAAATTTTACTCACCGAGATGATTCGCCCCTAGGATGTGTGCGCATTTCTCTGTGCCAGAGTGTTGATATTTTGTACCCTGGTACACATCTGTATTGCTTTTTTCACCTCCTCCTGTTTTACAAATGATATTGTGATAGAAAACCCTGGTCTAAACCCCTCCCCCCTCACTCTCCAGGGTGGAGGTGCGTCATCGACGACCATGATATTCGGTTCGCTATCGGAGGACCTGTTGAAGACCATTCTCCAGAGACTGCAGGAGATCTATGGCGAGATCCTCACCAACAGAACCACCGGCAAACAGGCCAGCAGGTGTGTGTGTGTGTGAGTGTGTGTGAGTGGGTGTGGGTGTGTCCTTCCCTCACCTATCTTCTTGTATTCGGTCTCCTTGAACAAACGTCTGTTCTGTGTGTGTTTGATTTCAATTGTATTGACAAACCAAGAAAGCCTACCAAGTTGTCTGGTTTTGTTAGCTGGCCGAAAATGAAATGGCTATCTTCATGTTCAGCTGTGTTTTTTCTATCCTGACACGGTGTGTCCTGTGTGTGTGCGTGTGTGTGTTTGTGTGCAGCACTCTGGTGTCAAAGATGGAACACCTCACGGACCTCCAGAGACATCTCGAGTCCTGTTTCCACGAAAACCAGTCCAACGCCGGGCAGGACAGCAAACCTGCGTCCGGCAACACCAGCTACACTGCCTACTACTTTATGAGAGGCGAAGAGGAGGAGGGGGGAGGAGGGGATAACGAGGGGGGAGACGAGGGGGTGGACGGGGGGCGAACTCCGCCCAGGAAGAGCAGCACACCAAAAAAACTTAGCCCGAGTACTCCGCCCAAGGTTGATCGCCTCGCTAGAGATGACGAGAGAGAGGCTCAGCAAGCTCAACTGGTCAGAGCTCTCCAGTCGGAACTGGAGGAGGTGAAGAGGTGGAACGAAGCTCTTCAGACGAGGCTGAGGGAATCGGGGGGCCGAAGAGACGTGGGGGTCGGGATGGAAAAGGGAGGAACCCCTCCACAATCGACATCTGTTAGCCCAGGAGAGGTACCAGGAGCTGGAAGCGGAGGTGGATCGATTGTTGGGGGAACTGGAGGGAGAGAGGGAGCACTCGCAGGCTGAGAAGGAGCAGCAGGAGACAGACTCTGCCGCACTGCGCGGGGAGCTGAACGCCGCGAGGGAAAGAGTTGGGGAATTAGAGCTAGAGCTACGAGAAGCCATGGTGAGGGACGCTGGTACCTCCACGGCAGAAGCTGAGACTCTGGCAGCTCTGGAGGAAGAGGTGGAGGAGCTGAGGGGAGAGCTGGAGAAGGCCCGGGAGACCGTGGCGAGACTAAACGGGCAGCTCCTGGCAGAGAGAGACGATAACCAGCGACTGAGGAAGGAGCTTGGGAGACTGAGGAGCTCTCCGGGAGTGGGGCGAGTTGATCGTGCGACATCCTCGGGCCCTGCGTCTGCCGCAGCGTCGGCTCCGAATCTCCTCACTCCTGATCGAACTCCGGGGAAGACCACGTCGGATAGTTGGACGAGCCCGGGGGTGGCGGCGCGAGGAGGAGGGG